AGGAGTGTTACAGAACAAATGCAAGTTCGAGGGCAAGGTGGGACGAAGCTGCAAAATCTTGAGGACAATTACAGAAACGATAGACTCCTTGGTCGATTGTACAATCGACTGTACAATATGATTGAAAATTTATGCTCCATGTTAAGAGTCTCTGTAACTGAACGTCCACACGCAGTCCAGGTGCAAAAGCATTTGTGTTACCAAACTGCCACATTTATACACCTGACACTCCTCAGCGTGCTGGCGATTTAAAATGTGCTGAGATCCCGGCAAGCAAAAAACATGTAATTGGGGTATAGCACAAAGAATATGGAAGGAAAAACTCTGATTACACATCAACAATTTTACAAATGGAATCCAATTATGGATGAGCAGATGCGAGATTGAATATCATAGGAGAGATTTGTGCAGAAGTTTTGTTTTACCGGTAAGATGCATTCGAACTGGAGTTAGGCCTCCTAAGGAATCTTGTGAAATCTTCTGGTCATACAAAGAAACACCAGAAGGATATTCACATGAACTAAGAATTTCTGAGCTTCGTGGTGCAGGGAATTAAGGAGAAGCATTCCCTTTAGTTTAAATTGCTCTCTTGCTTAAACACTGATACTAGCTGAAAATGACATCACATCGTAGTTTGAATTCCGGTCCATCATCAAAGTTGTTGGACCAAAATGAATATTTTTGACAACTTTGAGGATTTTGCTTCGATAAGTTAAATTACATCATAGTTTCTATGTATGTATGTCATCTACGGCTTAATTCTAATTAATCAGAGGGGAAAAGCTATGATTTAGTTCTAGCCTGTAGAACTTTCCACTAAAACCATATATGGATATAGTAGAAACTAGCTCTTCCAATACTTGGATCAAAGGGGATTTTGTAAGATTAAATCGTTACCTATTAATCATAGTTAGTCCAATCGTAGTTAGACTTGGCCTTTAATTAGGGTTTGTTTGGATTAGTTTAAATTGCTCTCTTGCTTAAACACTGATACTAGACAATGACATCACATCGTAGTTTGAATTCCGGTCCATCATAAAGTTGTTGGACCTTCATCGTGCAACAACAGAAAAATCAGGGATATGAGTGGAAGTTCAAGGTGAACACCCGCGCGTGTCAAGTGAAGGGATTTCATCAACAAGACAATTTCAAGGGGTGAGAGTTGCAACAAGACGATTTGATCACTGTACCCTAAAAAAGTCATCTTCAGACTTTAACCGAACACTCATCTTCTTCATAAACATAACTGTGGGATTTACATAATGGCAAAGATTATAAAAGACTTGTGTAAGGAAGGTTTTGCAGAGTTGTATATTGCATGAGGGTCTAAACATATGCTTGTCACTTGCATAATGGAATTCTGAACTCTTCAAAATCCTAACAAGTCAAAACTCCACAACGAAGGCCATTTTTCATGCACTTCTCGCACACCCATGCATGCCCACCTTTATCTAAACTCACGTATTTCACCTGATACAACTTGAAGAGTACGGAATAGCGATTTTGAAGCTCAGGCGCAAGAGTTTGCTGAATCCTCAACCATGCTTCTTGCAGCTCCTTGCTTTCCCCACCTTTTAGAACTGCCCTCCGATCTTCATCGCTTATACTAACTAGCTTAACAATATCTAATGTTAAATCTGCCCAGTCAGGAATTGCTTGGCCCAACTGGACGGTCTTAGCCAGTCCAGCCTTTGCGGCATAGTACATGACTTTCCACATAATTTCAGCAGTTTTCCGAATCCATTTGCAATTTTCCTGATCCAAGCGTATCTTCAAACCTTCTTGATCTTTGACAATGTGAAACTCATTCATAAACTCACACATCAAGTGTAAGCGAACGGTTGTCCCAAAATGCAGTTTTGCACTCAACTTATATAAAACCCCAACATCCTTCGTAAAGTAAGGTCGCTTGGGAGTTCTCGCCTGCTTAAGAGATTCAGAATACTGAATCATACTATCCACTTTAGAGATGAAATCACTCAACATTGACTGACGTTCTTGTTGCAAAGTGATTATCTGTCCCACCTTATTTTCCAATCTCTGCACACCGCTCACCACTGATCTTAACCCCTCATCCACACCATCAAACCTTTGAACTAGGTTTCCTTCTACCTGGTCTAACCTGGACATAATAAGTTGGGTTGAACTGTCTTCTACAATTGTGCTCTCCCGACTTAAGCACCTGGATGAAGGTCGATTGTTGTCTTTCACATCAGTAAAATTCGATTTGCTAACCATGTTCTCATCTTCAGCGTGAGTTTGAACCAAATCATTGTGCACGCTGATCAAACCTTGCCCCAATGACCCCAATTGCTGCATTCGCTTCTGTCGGATCTCATTCACAACCGCTTCCACATCGCTCTCCCCTAGCAACTCCCTAGCTCTTTCGAATGTACGTTCTGTTGTGTGCCCTTCAATCAAGGGCCAAGAGTGCTCATAGTTGAGCAATTCATCTTCCTTCTCCAAGTGCGATATATCCAACAGAATACCCTCAAGTTTGTCTTCGATGCTATGAATGAAATCTGATTTCAGATCCTCGATTAGAATTGCCCCTCTCAGATGACTCGGAATCCGCTTCTCCACGCAAATTGTTTGGATCACACCTAGCACTAACGCCACCCCGGGACAGCCTTTGGATGATGCACAAAATGATATCAACTCCTGGACGACATTCTTCATTAGGTATTTCAGAGACCCCTCCCTTGATTTATACTTGGAGCATAACATCCGAACATCCACGTACTTATGAGAAGTTTCTTGTTCGACGTAGATCTCGTGCCCATCAAGAAAAAGTTGCAGAAAATGTCGAGAGCAAGTCATAGTCTCCTTGGAAACATGCATTTCCGATGATATCAACTTGCGTCTCATGAACATCTACAAGGATACAATTTGGTCAGTATTGAGCTACGCATTTAAAAATTGAATTCAACTAATGATAAGGGAACATTCCACTCATCTTACACACGCTACATTCGGAACTTGACGCATTCAATCTTTTCACAATAAATTTGAAATCACCTGGAAGCACGGAAAAAAAGCTGCGGTCAATGCCATTGTTATTTCATCTTGGCATTGAACACGGATGCCGACAAACTTGGAGTTCTCACCCATAGTTTCCCAAGCCATCGGCCTCACGTGCACCTCTTCTTGATGCTTCTGTTCTTCCTTGCTTGCATGCTCAGGTATGAAAGAGGGAATGAAATATTGGAAAGAATCTTCGAGCTTGAAACACAAATCTAAGTTGATAAGGATGTTTTCAATCATCCCTCTATCCACACCTCTCTCTCCATGTGGTTGTTTTTCCAGAAACTCCTCTATCAACCTAGCAAAGACACTCTCACTCACAAATCCGTCATGACTTTTGTATAAATCATGTGAAATCCTTTTGCGAGAAGATCCAGATCTTCGAGCTTGAAAATTTTGACCCAGAGCTACAAGCTCACGCAATAATGTATTGGTTAGCCAATTCGGATCCACAATAATGTAATCAAGGTTTGGGATAGAAACAATGGATCCAACGTCATTCAAATAGGATATGATTGATTTCAATATCCTTGAATGATCAACAGCATGAGCAGAAGAAATGAGAAGGAATTTTTTCAAGCTTGGGGCACAGAAGTCATAAAACTTTGTGGATGGCCAAAGAGGAAAACTTCTATTCTCCTTGGTATTTGTAACCAAGAGGAAAGAGAGTTTAGAACACAATAGGGGAACTTGCGGGGATTTTTCACTCAACAACTTTTTGAAGATATCAAAAATGTGATCTTTGAGAAAAATAACTTGCTTCTTCTTCCGAGCATCCACATGGAAAATCTCTTGAATAGCATGCAGATGCACAAATTTTGCAAATCTTTGGGTGAGTTCGTTCACTATGGAATGAGCCCAAATCAAAGAGCTAGATTTGGTTTTATCCTTGTGTGAAATCACAACAAGAACTTGTGGACGACTATGTCCCATGACCCTAGTGCTGGATGAAATGAAACTTAACCATTCCTCCAACTCTGCTTGTAAACAAGAGTCTGGTTTGTCCAAAGATGTTTTCTCACAGAAGGTACTATACACAAATATAAAAACACAAAAAATGTTGGTTTGAGGGAATAACACAGTTTGAAGGGTACGGAAAATTCCTTGTCCCCCAAGGTCCCAAATTGAGATTTGGCTTTTGTCATTGTTTTGGAAGAACTCCACTTCTCAATTATAGAAGCAGTGCATGGCGACCTTAAAATCTCTTTCAGGAAAAACATTTTTCAACATAAACATAGACTTGCAGTCGAAAACGGATAAACAGAGGAGACCCAGTCATCTGACAATCACAGCGTTGATGCTCTCAGACATCATCTGTTTGTAGATGTCATCAACGTGCATACACGCCCCATTACATAATCAACTTTCATGCTTCCTGCTCCACTATGTCTGTAGGGATGAAGCCAGACCAATCCACGCTCTCCTCACAGTGGCTGCATACCTTTTCCAGCTATCTAGCGTCCTAGACCAATTTATTCAAGACTTCTGAATGGAAGGTATGAATCCAAAGTCCAAGTGAGGAGCTATTTGTCCACTCTGTGGACAAATAGCCCACGATCAACTTCATGTGATTTATGAAATTTGGATTAGAGAAACCCGAGATGTTCAGACTTGTGCAGGTGGTGCACTTTCAATTAGATTGTACGTGAAAACCAACCTCTTGGGCGCTCAGGCTCTTGAAGGATAGTGTGAATATGCTCTTGAAGGATAGTGTGAATATGTAAGAGCACTAAGACAACGTGTAATTAGTTCTCATGCTTTTACAAAGAGGGTAGACATGAAGTTAGCAGTTTGAGCAATTTCGTACATTGGTGCATGAAGTTTTGAAGGTGTTATTACTTTACATAACGTTTGGGGCTGTCTATTAAAGCTCTTCTGACTGGTCCTGTGCTGATCTTGCAGGCTTTCTTGCCAGTGATCGAATCTTTCGGGTTCGAGACTGATCTTAGATACCGCCGCACGCAAGGATAGGCTTTCTGTTTGTCTGTATTTGACCATTAGTCGATTGTGCCTGGTGATCCTCTTGACAAGTCATTTGTTCTCCCGCCCATAGAACCAGCTCCTCTTCATCATCTTGCTCGAAAATTCATGGTGAAAACTCGAAGACGGAAAGTAAGTAAAATGTCCTGGTTTCCTGAAGTCAATAATTGCCATCTTCACTGTCGCTATAGTTTCATGCGTCGGTCACTTGGTTCTTTTCCTTTTTGGATAATGCTTACATCTACTAGCTCGATCTACTCAGTCCTTCCTTGTGTTTGTCAGTCATGCATTGAGACCTTTCTTTGGCCACTAAAATACTCCGGATTATGAATGATCTGGGTGTAAGAGTCAAGGTCTCCGATTTGCATCTACCACCTTGTTCCTTACGCATTTGTAAAATAATGGTATGCAATAATCTTGGCTAATTGTGTGTTGTTTGATGTACGTAGTGAAGACGTGAGCATCAACCAATTTTTCGATGACCCTATGTTGTTGGAGCTTGCCCGGCAAGATACCGATTTGCAGCAAATTTTCTGACATTTCTGCTCTTTTATCCCCTGTTCTCCTCAAGAATTATGGGCTGCGGACGTTGTGATCTTATCATGACAGATCTGTACTCATCTAGTAGTGAGGTTGTTGAAAATAGGATCCAATACGAAGAATGCTCTCCCGGAGAGCTCGTATATTAAATTTTAGTTGACACAAGCAATCCAATGAAAACGTTTCAGCAAAACATCAAGTTCCATATGCATGACTCTCGGCTTACGAATGTTTGATTCGGCTCGGAAGATTGGATTCCTCAACCGAAGGTCTGCCAGTACGAACCGTGTCATAATTTCCATAACCATACGTAATCATAGAATCATATCTTCATACAATCTCTCATGATCGCGCATATGCGTATGACGGTTTGCAGATCAACGAGTTATTGCGAAGCACGTCCGCCCAGAGCGAACTTTCATGAAAATGAGAAATGACTCTGGTACACAGCAACTTTCTTCAATGCTCAAAGTGGTGTAGAGATAGCGTAGGTTGCACGCAGACGTGGATAGATCCAAGATTTGCATCGGCTATGAAGTGGTTGTAGATAAAACCAGATAATACAATCATTAGTGCGTGGAAACTTTCAGGCGTCCGGTTGTGAAAAAATCTTGGACTAAAAGAATGTACAGGTATTCCATTTTCATTCCAGAGCACAGGACGAGACCCAATGTCTTCCGCTCATCGAGATCGCACTCTTCTTACATCGTTTCATTCATTCAACTTAACCGATACAGTGAGACGCAGAGCTGGTGCCTCGCTCTGTCAGTCAGCAGCTCCGGTGCAGTCAATCATCTTCGCCATGAACGGGTCGGCATTTCCACATGGCTCAGGGTTCTCCCAAAAGCTTGACATTCTGGGCGTGACCAGAGGAGATTCAAACTTCAAGGTCCTTCGCATGGCCGTTCCGGGGTTTAGCCTCCAACCATGAGAGAAATGTCAGATTATTCAGATGCCTGCCGATGGAGAGAGGGAGGAGCTGCAACTCCTCTACATCGAGAAGGTGAGGGTGCTGTAGATGCAGATGCACGTGAACCACAGTCACCTGCGGATATTGGGCTTCAAGCCACGTTGGTGTTGCTCGAGGAAATCAAGCAGGGTGGCGTTGTGGATTATACGCATCAAGTGCTGAGCATTTCTTCCAGTAAGTGTTCCATCTCTCTAAAGTTGCAGCCATTGTTTCTAGCAGCTAACCGATTTCACTCTACTCAGAGCTGCTTCAGTGCAGAGATTTCAGTGGGATGTCAGCTGATTAACAGTTATCGAAGTACATTTGACCTACTCCGATTGCTCCGTCGGTAAATCTAAAGTCTATAAAAGAAGATGAGTCGCACTCGATTTCTCATCTGTGACCGAGGTGCCGTTGTCAATATATTCAGGCTGCCCTTGAAAGCAGCTATTCAGCGGGGGCAGTCTTCTCAGAACCACAACCTTTTCACGTTTGGGTTTCGCTCTTGCTGACTTCACAAGTCGCTTCTCCTCGGATGCTTTTGGCTTCTACGTCATCGTGTGCTATTTTCAAGTCAAGACGGAAGGTAGAAGCGAGAGTTAGGAGGGGCTGGTTTCATAATCTCAGAACTAGTCGCACAGTGCAGCTCCGGCAGCTCTGTTGGACCAGTTTGGAGTTTATGATGTCGGATGTTGCATCAAAACAAACCCCTGGGTTCCCACAGCCGGCTCCCAGTAAGTAGGGACAATGCCATGTCTTTAACAACATCAGCAGATTGTGGTAACAAATTCCTCTCCAACCGAACACTTCACGAAATTTGCTCCATATCCTAAGCCATAGTGTATCCATAATACATCCGCCATCGCTCAAACGTCCTCGCATGCTCCCCTTCCGTCTGTTTGCTCTCCCTAGTTTGGCCGGCATCCAGATCCCCAACAGTGGTTGATTATGCTTTCTCTACGATTCGGAAGGTTTGGACATCCTGTTTGGACTGCCAGCCTTTTCCTCCTACTCCTCCCCCTGCTGCTGCTGATGCCTCCTCGAGCCTCCAAGCCCCGGTGACTCATCTTCTAGCGCACCTCCATCATCCCAACCATTCCTAATCTCGAGAAGGACCTCCATCCTGGCCGATATACCACTCTCGGGAGGCTCAGAGGTTCCTGTACTTTGTACATCCACAGAGCTGATTCTGTACAGATGTAAAGAACTTATGTAGCTGTCCACCTTATACTGCTTGAGAACAGCTTGAGAATGGTTCGGTTCCCAGAATTGAAAGTAGTATGATTTGGTCATGAATACATTCACAAATCGTATATGCCTTACAACTTACAACTTAACTTTTCATTCCACTTGAAAACAATAATCATCAGAATTGCTCTCACACTGCTTCGTTATAGTCTTGGATTTGTATGTACTTAGGTCTCACCTCTAGCCTAGACCTCTTGCTAAATCTTCCTGTGATTCATCAGCCGTCATAGTCGGTTAATTCCCTGAAGGAGTGTTACAGAACAAATGCAAATTCGAGGGCAAGGTCGGACTAAGCTGCAAAATCTTGAGGACAACTACTGATGTAAGTCTCTTGCCTTGCTTTCACAATATGGAACTTCCGTGGCAATTATCATTCTCATCTCTCTGTTTTGTTTATGTTGGGTGTTTGTAACCCTCTGTAATGCATGAGCTTAATAGTAAAACATGTTTTGAAAAAATTGAACAATATTAACAATCCACCTAAGCATTTAGTATTTTTAGTAGACTGAATCTTGAAAGCTCACCACGTGAAGACAAGCTCGTTGAGTCCAAAGGTTCCAGATGCTAAGTACAGTCCCAAGGAAATTGTCCGTTAAAGTTGGGATTGTATACAATAGCATCATTGGTTGTGATATCATTTTGGTGTACAATGTGTCTTTATTTGATGATACTTTCGATCTGAGATTGTTAAGTCATAAACATGCTCTAATGAATTGTTTCAAACAAGTTGTTCTTTAAAAAAATTTACAATATTACATATTCTTTGGGATTTCTGAACTGCTTTCGAGATTTTCACTTTACAATTCTTCAGCTTTTTCAGTTGTTTTTTTTGCGCTTTTATTGATTGTCTGTTTGATATAGATGCATCATCAAGAATAATTTAAATAAATTCTACTTCAATAGTACAACTCTACTAATGAGATTAAAAAGTGGATGTAACTAAAATTGAAACAAAAAGGTTATCTGAGCAAGAGTTGTAAGTAACTTTTTAAGGTTTATATTCACATACCTACACACCATAACTCCTGATGCACATTCCATTCAAGTTGAACTAACACTAAAGGGATGAAATAGTGATGACTTGATAATACCTTATAATGACATACTCCCAAATTCATCCCTCATTCAGGTAGGAATGCAGCCAAATATTAAAAAGATATATGTTATACCAAAAAAAATTACAGGCAGCTCTTGTCGGAAATTACTTGAAATGTTTTTCCCTTTTATTCCAAGGTACTTGGTTACTTTGTAGTGTATTCTCACTGTTTAAATCGCCCAAAGTTATTTGATTCTGCAAATATCCAATTATCAACTTCAATTTATCAATAAGAAACACTTTTGCTCACTCAAGATTAGAGGTGGAAATAATCTTGCAATCTCTTTTTAATGACCTAAGCGCTATCCTATATAGCATCTAGCATTGACTTTCAGTGCAAGATATTCTGGAAACTGAAAACAATAAATTTTGGTTCTCAGAGCTCCATAAGTTCCCCAAAAATACTATAGAAGTTGTCAAACCTCAACTAAAAATTGTTAACAATATTATTTTTCACTCCTGTAAATTGTTTAAAATACTCATTTTCACTTCGTACTGAAATTAGTCCAGTTCACTTCACTAGAAAGAGTGAAGATGGTCATAGATAGACTTTTTTTTGGGACCTTGGCTAGCAAGTACAATGCACAGGACTTTGACTCGATTACAGAGTTCCAACATAATCACGCCAGGGCCCTCTTTGCTTTTTGAACAGGCTCTTCGAGCCAACCGCTCTTCGAGCTCTTCGAGCCAACCGTGATCCCAGTTGATTATTTCAGCCCGGAAGCCTAGTTCCCCCTTCGCAACTTGAGCCCAGAAGTAAAATTGAACTTAGAAACCAGAATCACTCATTAGTTTGACTCGCTGTGTATAGCAAGGATGTTGTGCAAAGGAAACTACTGAGTTTGTTCTGATGTCGTGCAATTGCACAGTCATTCAAGAGCCTCAACTCTCAGTTGGTTTTCACGTACAATCTAGTTGACAGTGAACCATCGAATCATCTGGGGTACTCAAATCTTAACTTCATAAATCAGGCAAAGATGATCACCATAGTTTCGAATTCTTCATGAACTGCATTATTCAGAAGTTTGCGTCCAGTGTCAGTTTGTTCCAGGATGCTGGTTACAAAACGCTGGCTTTCTTCCTCATGGTCTAAATCATTTCTGAATATGGTCGTTAAGATTTTGCCTTGCGTTAAACTGAAAAGCAAATGGACATTTAGCAGAAACCTTGGACTCCGTTCATATTTAACTCCATAGCAATGCAATTACAATTTGAGCATCCCTTCTACACACATGTCTGTAAAACTTTCAATTTATGGCGACAACTGTGAGTCAGGAGATTTGGTTGCACATTTCTTCCCTGCTCCAGTCCAGATTCCGGCGAAATTGCCAGCACTAAGTTCACGACCCTGGAGCCTGTTACTTTCCACTCAAGAGTACCGACTTGTCGCTGCCAGTATTTTCGATGCCTGCCGAACCATGCCGTCCATACCACAAGAGATGCCTGGTAATGACATGCGTGTTACGAACTTCGAGTTCACATCTGTGGAAACTCAATGCCTTTTACTGACAATCGACTGATTCTTCCTTTGTTCCTTCACGGAAATCGTGATTTGTCCCCGCTGACATTGCCGAATCTTGTCAGTCCTGTATAGCAACATGAAAAGCAAATCAGTCACGCAATCTGACCTCAATTAGACTCTCGAGTTCCAATCGTAGGCTTCTTGAATGGTCTTTGTGGCAGTGGAGTGTATGAAGAGATAGAAGGAATCCATCCTCCAAGACATCGTACGGCTGAAGATGAAGCTGCGGCAGAACCTCAAGCATGGAAGACCCATACAGACAGAATCTGATAAGCAGCAGCAGCATCTGGACTACACTTACAGCAGCCGTACGAAGAAGTATATTGCAACAGTCCATGGATCAAATACCTGAAGGTCTAGCTGTTTGAATTCCAAAATTCGGGAAAATTGCTTTCAAGGTAAATCCGGGACAGCGTCACTCACCTGATGTAATGATGAGTGATATCCTGCAACTTCGAATTCAACTAAAATCTCAAATCCTGAGGAATCTAACATGGAATTCCAAATTTGTGACTGGGACTTCAATTCTGGACCTTGACCTATGAAAATCTTTCGGTTTTTTTTAACTTTAATGTCTCTGAACTATCACCAAACGTCTTCCTATTTCTCTCTCTGACTCCTCCGTCTTCGTAGACAGTGAATGTTCAAAAGGATTTCTTTTGAAACATACGCAGTCATTGACTTACAGCTAAATTTTCACTCTACTTGAAAACAACAACCATCAGAAATGCTCTCAGACTGGTTTATTATAGTCTTCAATTTGTATGTACTTAGGTCTCAGCTCTAGCCTCAAACCTCTTGCTACTTCTTCCTGTGATTCATCAGCCGTCATAGACGGTCAATTCCCTGAAGGAGTGGTACAGAACAAATGCAAATTCGAGTGCAAGGTGGGACGAAGCTGAAAAATCTTGAGGACAACAGAAACGATAGACTGCTACTGGATGATAGTAGAATATGATGTCCCTTGAACGCATATTTTCTAGAAAAGATCCATCAGAGAGATGTGAAAGCTATGACTCTTGCCACTCTTGGACTTTCATACATCTGATGACGATGGATACTTTCCTGTCATGACTAGGGATAGGAAGAGAATGTTAGAATTCTCCTACAGACGTGCTCGTGATCAGCCGGAGGCAATCAATAATGGTGAACCTGATCATGGAAGTTTCGGGGGCCCGGGGCAGGCTTGGGTCGAGCAGAGATCGTAGGTCTGTGAAGATAAATTATCGTCAATCGATTGATCTGATACTTCACCCGCTTAGACTCGATCGAGATTGCATAGGTCGTAGAATGCCTCGAGAATCAACTCGAAGGCGACAGGATTCTAAAGCATGGAAATGTACTCAAACATTTGCCTTTCCTTGCCTTGTCTTCAGGCGACAGGCGTCAGGTTGTCCGCTTTAATCTGATCATGTAATATGTGTGGTAAAATTGTAATGGATGAATGTGTCTACAGAAATTCGGTAATCGTTGGGATCGAAACATAGCCTCCGACAAACATTTTCCCCTCTATAGCTCGTCTTGACGTAAAGTCAAAAGTTTAAAATCTATGACCATGTTCGTAAGCTCTGGAAAAAGAATGAATGCTCGACAAGTAGTTTGAACACGGCTTCCGCCACAGAAACACATGCATTGACCAAAATGACAGAGGCAATCGAGGTATGAAAACGGCTCAGCTGCTCCCTACCTTTATTCTTATAAACATGTAACACTCCTGAACTATGTGTTGTCGACCCACAGGCAGATATTTACGTGTTTGACAGGGACAGTTATAGTCTCATCCTATAGACCTCTTTGGGCATGATCGACCGTATTTATTCATGGAATGTGCTTAGGTCAATGTCGAGGACAATGAACGTCCTTGCACATGTCAGAGCTTGGATACCACAAGATATCTCCTTAAATCGTCTCTTCATCGGATATGCACTGATATGTTCCCGAGGCAGAACCGAGCTTAATGGAGGACGTGTTACGATGACTTCGATCTGAACGTCCAAATCCTTCCTCTCAGCCGTGGCAGTTGTCCTTGCAGCATGTCCGAGATCTGTCACTCACGAAGTGGCACATGAGAAAAAGATGTCAACATTGTTTCGAAAATACCGGATTCTTCAGAATTACCCTCGACGTTGAGGCAAAGGAAATTACTGTCCTACAAGATTGTCTTAGAGCTGCAGTTTCGTTGTGAGTAGCAACTTGCAACTTGCAACGAGTACCTGCGAAGGACCTGAAGCTACTGCAGCTGGAAGCATGACCTTTCAGACTCGAATTATTGGATCCTTCACAATATCTAGGCTTCCACGGGTAAGTCTTGTAATTGTTCCTGCTGTGCTTCGTGTAATTCATGGAGCGCCGACGTACCACCCTCAATATGAATGTTCATAGGCTGGCGATTACGAAAGAAACGCTGGACATGTCTGAAACTGCGTCTCGCAGACAAAGGGTACGACTGCAGCATGCGCGCACATGCCGAGCTTTCATGCAGAGAAAGATTCAAAGGCACCGAGGAGGTCGAAGTTACTCCACGCATTTCCACGATCTAGTCTGCAGTTACATGTACATTCATGCTCCTGCATCGTCCATCCTTGTCACTTATCTCAGAGAATGCATTAGATAATTCTGGAGAACTGAGAATCCATCACCAGAATCACAATTCCTCTTTGAGATTGTTGAGCTCTGAACTCACGAAAAGCATCAGCGATTCTTCATCTCGATGAGTTTCTAGTCAGATCATCGAAGGCTGGGAAATTACGAATATTGGCCTTATCCTTGCGCCGTGTACCACATTCTTAAAAAATCTGGTCTGTAAGATTAAATACGACTTCGACTGCTTTATATTTAGCGGCAGGCAAATATAATATTTTTATATACCGTTTTGATGCCGCTGTCAGGACAAGAAGACTGTGCGCTCATGGGCCGCAACCGGTCGCTTGATTTCTGTGAAAAACTGTGTTCCACGGTTTTGGGAGTGTCCTCAGGAGCATGTCGGCGCTGATGGATTTAAAACTTTTTGACTGTTAATACATGAACTGCAAGATTGTCTATGATGCAGCCTTGATCATGCAGGGGAGTTTTCCACATTTTTGTCTGTCACCTTAAAAAATTTCTTGGTTTAGTACGTCGATGAGGGCATTCCAATTTCTGGATATTGAAGTTCCCGACAACTTTTTTGTAGGCTGTAATGTTCATAGTGTTTCGGTAAATAAATATCTAAGAAACATGATGTGATATAAATAGAATAATCTGATTGGGAAGTTTATCTTGATGTTTTGTATCGGGTGTTGAACTTTTTGAAGTCAAGTCATGTTGATTTCATCAATAATTTAATATATGGTTTTTATTAAAATTATTTTAAAAATCAAAGTTTAAATATTTAAATTCATAAAATAAATATTTATATATTTTAACTTTTTCTCATTATTTTTTCATATTTATAAAAAAAATTTGATAAATTCTGTAATTTTATAAATAAAAAAACTTTAAAAATCTGCCAAAATTTAAATGTGCGAAAAATCTAAATCACTCATTTCTAAATAAATTAATTATATGTATATTTAATAAAAAAAATTTGCTTGGGATTGTTTAAAAAATTATGAATTTATTTCAAGATAAATCTCCTGGTCAATTGAAGAATATATTTCAAAATATGATATGAAATATAATAAAAAAATTTATTCATTTTTAAAAATGTATATGCTATTTGATATCAATCTAATACTCTCTGGTTCGAAGGAGACACATTTGCATGAAATTAGGGTTAGTTTTAACCTCTGACATCTGTTAAATTTGTTTTTCTGTTTTTCACATCTGTTTTGTAAATTTTCATATTATCAAATGACATACGAGAATTCCGTGACAGTACTTCTTTATGTGAAGCTACGTAATTTCGCTGCAAGTCTTCACAATAAATAAATATCATGAAGCACATATTGTAACCAGTGACTTGCAGGATGGAATATGGCTATTCCAGTGACGGCACGGAAGGTGAAGGGGACGAAGATGACAGCACCGTACGAATATCTGGGGACGGAGTTCCGACGGCCGCGGAGAAGCGCGCCCGCGTGGTGAGCGATGGAGCAAGCGATTGCTGGGGAGGCGAGGCCATGCACGAGGCCAAGATAAGAGGGCCAACGAAAGGCGAGGCCGCGGGCCAAGTCAGCAGCAGCGTGACACCTGCGAGTGACATGGCCGCGAGTCATTCCCAGCCATTCCGAGGTGGACCTTTCGCGCCACCCTCCGAGTCCATTCGGTCCGGCCATCTCGCCCGGCGCTTTCCGTCAGCATCCGAATTCTGCTCTGCTCGAGCGATTGAGTCTTGCGTTCTTGCGAGTCGAGGTTTTGATTTGTCGGGCTGGCTTGCAGCTGGGACTGATGGGAGTTGCGCTGTAAATGAAGAGTGTGGGTATCCGCCACTCGAGCTGCTCTTTGCAGCAGAAGTGCCTTCTCGTCCGATCTCTGCTCAGCAGCAGCAGCAGCAGCCATTCTTGCTCGTACTCGTCCAGCGCAGTGATGTCGGCCGCATCAGGAGGTTGCGTTGTGTCCGCCATCGTTCCCTCCTCTTTTCAGTCGTCTCGAGAGGTAGTGTAGATTTGTTCTCTCCTCTCCTTCATGGTTCTGGGTGAGTTCGAGAAAAATTCTGTGGTGCAAGCGGAGAATCCGATAGCTTTCTCGAAAGTGCCTCCTGGATTCAACGAAGAAATTGAATTACTCCTTGATTTTGTCGATAAATCATCCAGTTAATATATGCGACTGGATCGACTCTTAGAGAAAGGATTTGTGAATGTGTCCCTATAATCACGAGATTTTGCTCTTGCCATTCTTTTAAAGACTGCCACTTATTTATGAGAAGTATGAATTTTTTTTCTTATGCCAAAGTTCAAATCAACAAGAGGAATGCACCGTGTCTCTGCTCTTGGGACGCAAGCTCTGCTTATAACCGTCAGAAGACTTTCCCAATGGTTCCAGAAAGCGATTCACCTTTTAAATAGATTTGTTGTATCGGTTGACCATGACTTTCACACTCCTGCTAAAAACTGTGTTCACTAGGATTTGTCTGTCGTAGCGTGTCATTTCACACTTCTGCGTTGAACATGACAATTTTGATATATAATACAAAAATTGCTACGTTACATGATTTCCTCAAGTACATACCGGTTTGAGTCATCGTACATGGATGCATGTGTAAAGAGTTTAGTTCTCTGGCAGACACAAGTTACTCTGTACATGTACTTGCTGTCGAAGCTTTAATGGTACTAAAGCATGAAATTGTGGTATGATGTAACACAAGATGCGTTTGTCTTGCAGATCAAAGCTGTGACCTGCTTCCAAGGGCCGAAACATGGAGAATTGGTAAAATTCTTTCCAGGGACCGTAAGATTCAAACAGACATCTGGTTTGTTGCCATATAATGCAGACAATCGGCATTTTGTCAAAAGGTTGAGTATTCGTGCCCTAGACGAAACCACAGCAGAGCAAGTCAAGGAGACGACAGAAGTACCAAAAGATAGCAATTCAAATGATCCAGCACAGTCCAATGGGACTGCAACGAAAGAAGCCTTACCATCTGGGGATCTTGAGTATGAAGCTACTGGAGGATGGGACGAATTTGTCACACGATGCAAAATGCTAATTGCTTTCCCATGGCAAAGAGTGAAGAAAGGCAGCGTCTTGAAGTTGAAACTCTCTGGTTCGGTGAGTAAAAACTGGTTTTCACATTAGTTTGATTTCATACTCGCTAACTAACCACAAAACCTGTAGTATTAGTTCATTAGACATCTGCTTTTCATATATTGATTTTTCCTTTGTCAGTTGATCATCTTATCGTGTATGATCATTTTTCTCACTTAATTTCATCTACTGAAACAGGTCACCGAGCAGGTGCAAAGCCGTTTCTCGCAGTCTCTATCGCTTCCTATGCTATGTCAAAATTTGATGAAAGCAGCACATGATCCTCGAATTGCCGGAGTGGTCCTCCGAATTGAACCCTTAGACTGTGGTTGGGGAAAGATTGATGAGATATGTCGTCATATTGATTACTATAAGAAGTCAGGTGAAAACAAGTTCTTCGTTAGTGATGATCAGTTAATGACGTTTCTTATTCAGGATGTCTGGACGCGAGGAACCTTTTTACACACAATAATCTGAACTTTTACTTTTCCATCTTCAGGAAAGTTCTTAATTGGATTCATGGTCGTAGCTGGAGAGAAGGAGTATTATTTGGCATCCAAGTGTGGCGAGATTTATGCTCCACCTGGAGCATACATCTCCCTTCTTGGGTTAAAGGTGCAGGCAACATTCTTGGGAGGTGGGTCCTTAAAGGTTCTTCATTGCAAGAATCTTTATCTGATTTCTTGATTTCAAGGGTTGACCGGAGAAACAAGACAGGATTTTGCACAACTCATTCATATCTTAATTCATGTTTTAATGTTGAGTTCATACAGACAATCTCATAGGTTTTTGAGTGGTTCTATAACCAATACGAAAGGTTTTTGAAATGTTTCATATATTCTGTCTGGTGAACTGAAATGTCTACTACATGTTTTTTTCAGGTGTCTTCGAAAAGGTTGGGGTGGAACCACAAGTTCAGCGAATAGGAAAGTACAAGAGTGCGGGAGATTCTTTTTCTAGAAAGGACATGTCGGAGGCGAATCGCGAAATGCTCACAGCTCTGCTGGACGACATATATGGAAACTGGGTCAATCAAATAGCGCTATCAAGAGGTTGATTTACCTTCCTCTATATATCTGAAGGTCTTTAAGTATGTACTTGCACAATGATGTTGGCCTTTCCTTTTCGTTCAAGTGCGACTGGAATTTTGAGTAGCCTGTTGGATACTTCCAGGTCACTTGAGGATTCCAAAGAAATGAACTGAACCTAGCTAGTTTAACTGACATGTAATCCTGTGGCTCTCTTGGACGGTTTAGTTTTAATGTATGTCATGAAACTCCCCCTCGAATTGGTGAGAAAGTGGACCTTGGTGTTCCACTTTCTCACAGTTTCGAGAAGATATTTGTTTTGTCAAGGTTTCAAAGTTATTCGTGTAAATTTAAGACTCTTAAATGCTGATTTTTTTCTCACACTAAGCAGCCAGGTTGATGCCTTACGGATCTGCACTTATATATTCTAGGAATAGAAGTTAAGATCGTGTACAAATCATAATGCGTGTAATCATTAAAATAGGATGACACATCAAAATGAAGTAACAAACTAATTGGTGACACATCGGGACATCAAACAGGCAAGACTGTCAAAGACGTAGAAGATCTGCTAGATACTGGTGTTTTTGAGCTTGCTAAGCTGAAGGAAGGAGGATGGATCACGGACATAAAGTACGAAGATGAGGTATGCCTTGCCAGAAGTGGAATGACTTTTTTGGATGTACTTCTGCTTCTCATATTCAAATTATAAGAGCATCAGGCCTAACAGGAATTTTCTACTTATCAATCTGGATATCTGGAACCCTATTTTTATTAGGATGTTGTTTTACTCATATGAGTTTGCCTTGTGGTTTGTACAGGTAGATGAGATGTTGAAGGAGAGATTGGGAATCAAGGAGGATAAGAAACTTAAATCGGTGGATTATAGGTGTTTTAAATTTTCCTTCGCAATAGTTCTGCAATTTCTATATTTCCTATGAAAATGTTGACAGAATCTACAATATTTTTCCTTCCTAGTTCTTCCTGTTCTGCTCCATCAATATTTCAGTTGCATTAGTATTTCTCATTAGATAATCTAATCGTCTTTTACACTCTGACGGCAGTCGAGGAGTATGACTTGGGTTACATCGTGGGTCTAAATTTCTCAGTAACTGGGTAATGTACTGAACAAAGAATTGCAGTGATATCGATCTTAATGCAAGTCTGGTGTACAGATTTATTAAGAAGCAATGAGAGAGCACTGTTTCCCAGTATGTGATTGATTGGTAGACGTCGCACATAATGAATATAAAATGGGAAATTTGATGGAAAGAAAGAAACTTCAACTTTTCTTCTGTTTCTTACTTGTGTATCTGTATTTTTCGGTACAGAAAATATTCTAGGGTAAAAGAGTGGACGCTTGGTTTATCTGGAGGTGGTGATAGAATTGCAGTGATCAGAGCTGTCGGAGGTATCAGCAGAGCTCGTGGTGGTGGACTCAGCCTCTCCAGTGAGGGCATCGTGAGCGATTCTTTTATAGAGAAAATACGACAAGTTCGAGGTTTACTCACTACAGTCATTTATGACTCTTGATGCTCTTATGATGAATATAGTTTCATGTGACAGCATGCATCGATCAATTTAGGGCTACAGTTATATCACTCAGATCACTGAGACAAATTGTAAGAAAAAATTTAGCTAAGAAATTTTTGAACATTGAAGTGAGTTAATTTGATCTCAGTCGGACTTTGATTATGCGGTTGCAGATTCCAAGGAATATAAAGCTGTTGTTTTGAGAATTGATAGTCCTGGGGGTGATGCTCTCGCTTCTGATTTGTAAGTTACCTATCTCAAGTAAGCATATTTGATTTATTCATATTCAACAAACCAATCAACTGAATCTCAAGGCTTCTATTGTTCAATACTTTCACCAGGAAGAGAGCTGGCTTGCAGTCAGCTTTCTCCTTCAGTTCTAGAGATGAGAAGTTCTGTCATTGAGTTATGTTTTGTTATATTCATGTTCTTTGTTATTTGATGGAAGGCTTAGAATGCGAGTTTGAATCTTGAAGTATACTTGAACAGGCTGAAGACGGTGTTCTTGAAGTCTCACCTTGGACTACAGAAACTATACTGTAGTGAAGTTTCTATATCGCATAAAAATTCAGGTCATGCTCTAAGTTCTGTTGCTATTCTTAACAGAATGTGGAGAGAAATCAAGCTGCTGGCTGCCAAGAAGCCGGTCATAGCATCTATGGTAGATGTTGCAGCCAGTGGGGGCTACTACATGGCCATGGCTTGCGATGTTATTATAGCGGAGAGTCTCACCCTGACTGGTTCAATAGGAGTTATAACAGGTATTTATGTATCCCTTTCCCCCGTGTTGTGTATGTGTATCTGAGACCGGAGTTTGAAACTGCAGAGAATATTAAGTTCGACACTCAATTTGTTCATACGGTTTAAATTTAGGGTATGCTATCATAGGTCTAGACTAACTGTTACTGCAACGTCCTTTATAGCTAAACTCAACCTTGGGGAGCTTTATGACCGTGTTGGATACAACAAGGAAATTATTTCACGAGGCCGATTTGCTGAACTTGACGCGGAACAGCGGTCTTTCAAGTAAATGCCGTTCCCTGTTTTCTTTTTGTAATGTCTGCAGTTGGCTTTATCGTGAACATTAATAATTTTCCTGCTTTGAGTTGCAAATTGTATTGTAGCCAAATGTTTATATACTCTCGGAGTCCATTTGACAACGAGATAATTATATGTACGTAATGTGCAGACCTGAGGAGCTTGAATTTTTCAAAGCCAGTGCTCAAAATGCCTACGAGCAGTTTCGCAACAAGGCTGCGCTTTCAAGATCTATGGAAGTATGAATCCTCTTGAGTTGATTCTCATTTCGTGAACTTCGTATATTTTTTCATACTGTTCACCACGGCTCGGAACTATGATGCATCAGTTTGGTCCTACTTAAAACTCCCTTGTGAACATTTTCTCCCTTGTGAGCAGAAGGAAAAGATGGAGGAAGTAGCTCAAGGTCGAGTGTGGACGGGTAAAGCAGCCAAAGACCGAGGTCTAGTTGATGGCGTCGGTGGTTTCTGGAGGGCAATTGCAGTTGCGAAGCAAAAGGCAGGAATTGCAAGCGATGCCAAGGTGATTCAAACCACATCAAACTGGATATTTTTTTTTATCGTTTCAAACGTTTCAAACGATTGACACTTAATCATAAGGAACAGTCTGTGAATAACCCATGATGCTTCAAAATCATAGCACGACGGTGAATTTGGAAGAGGATATCTTAGTCTAAAATGTTTCAATTTTACATTTCAGGTTTCTCTCGTGGAGCTTTCAAGACAACAAACTTCTCCGCTTGCGGTTCTTCGTGGTGGAGCAGCTGTGCTTCTTCCTCTGATAGAATTAGCAGAGTCCGAAAGTGGTAGAAAAATCATTAGTTTTCTAATTCAAGGGGCAAGTTTGTCAGAAGTTGCTTCTTCCAAAGGGATTCAAGCTCGTATGGACGATATTACAATTGATGGTCTAGGCTTGGAATCAAGAAAGGATTCTTCTGTATAATTCAACCCATGTAAAGTATACATCGCTCTCTTCCCGTCCTATGAACGAGCCCGTTCTGAACGGCGATTTTTTCATCGAGCTCGAGTTACCTGTTGTATTTTCATGATCCGAACACTTTTTGATTTCGTTGACTCTTGTTTCGCGTGCATATTATATATGTAGTTTTCTCTTTCTTTGGGCAAGGAATGCACTACATTTGCCTTCTGTGTGAATATTAACTGAACACAGTTGTTTACTGTGCAATATTGTTTAAGTCAACACTTTGATGCTGATGTCAAAAGCTATCCTATTTTCAGATGTTTCTCACTTGTGACTGTGGCACAAAGTTCTCAGCTTATGGTGGTCGCAGTAAACAACCCCTGTTCAAATTACTCTGACCTCTGTGCTGCGGCGAATGTCGGGAAACTTCCTCACCTCCCATACTTATTACTGTTTTGAAGAATTTACATCAAGGTCAATGACTGACAGACAAACTTGAAACTGAGGACTCTCAATTCAACAGCTACTGACAAGTTGATCCAGAGTCCCACTAAAAAGTTCAACCGAGTTTTATCTGAAAGCCTGCTGGTGAGAAAAAAGCGACTCGATTTTGGCTGCTTTTGGCGTGATGTTTTAGGGTTTCATGGACAACAAAACCTTATGGCAAGAATGGACTTACTTGTTCACATATTCTTCCGTTTCGAGTTATGATTTGTTTGCAAAAATTAAAATAGGTTCAGAGGAGAACAAAGACTCGTAAATAAGTTTCACCTCTGACGCAACTGAAAGAGCCATTAAGTAATGTAACTTCGAAAAGACCTCTTATTTCCAATCATGCAGAACGTGCACTCATCATGCAGAAAAGCGAATCACCTCGGAGACTCACATCATCGAGACAATCATCACCCTTCAGTGCTGATATCCATGATCACAACTCTGTTCATGCACCTGCAACGCATGGAGATGAAAAGACCGTAGTAAAACTATACCTGCTCTTAGGCAGTAGACAGAAGCTGCAGCAGAGGACAACACTACTCAGAGAGATTGAGAGAGGGAAGGGTAGCCCTATCAAACAACATGCACAACACTGCAGAAGACGGGTCACGTTTGGGCACCCTTGGAGAGCACGTGTTCAGGAGGGAAAGAGGCTCTTGGTCACCAGATAGATCACACCACCAGAAGAAACTGCCCACTTTGACCGATTTGCAACCGACGGGTCAATCCTCCCCCGCCGCCCTCCCAGGTGGCAGGGCCGTAGCGAGCCACGTGGCATCCATGGAACTGAAAGGGTCTTCGTCTCGAAGACCGCTTCGCATCGATCAGCGGGCTCGGCATTGCGCCACTCGGTGACGTGAGAATTCTCCATGCGGATGGCCAGCCCCGAATCCAGTGACCTGCTGCGGAGTGCCCTGCGAGGAGTCGAGGAAGCTTCGTGCGGGGCCCGAATGGCATTTTGCCAAGTTTTGTGCGGACGGCGAAAAGGGTTGCCGGGACGGGGAGGAGCGACGGGGCAGAACCTCACCCTCGGAGTGTGGGGGGATGAAGTGGCGTTGCGTGCGGGGAATGAGTCCAACGGCCTTATATTAAGTCGCCCCCGCCCGTTGCGCTGGACGGCGGGGTTCCACACTCCGGCGGGGATCCGGGAGGACGTTGAGCTTTGCGCAAGATATTATAAGATTCGCACCCGGCCGACCGCGGAGCCCCATCCGATCCTTCGGTGGGAACGGGACTCGGACCGTTGGTCGCGCGGCGCTCAGGCGGGGGGATCTCCCCAAGCTCTCGCTTCGCAAAAGTCGGTGGAACGTCGTCAGTCGATGGTGTGCGCCGTGCCGTTGCCCCGAACCGGTTCCGAAGCCGTGCAGTGCTTCGGTTCATCTGTTCGGCATCGTGGTTTGGGTTTGGATTCGGGGAGTAGAGTTACGACCCGGACTTTCCCCAAACGGAAAGCTGGACTTGAGAGGATGGCTGTGAGCCAATTACTGCACATTTTCTGTTTGTGACCAATTTAATCAGTACACTACGTCTTCATTGGTTGGGTTTGAGTTACTGCTGCTGGACTTCTGTTGATGTAAATTAGGCCTTTTGGAAAGAGATCAAACAAATCGATTTCATTCCTAGATTGTAGTCTTGTGTCAGGGGTCCTGTTCATACTTTCCCTTCACCCAAACTCGTATCTTCTCATGTCTGTGTCTGTTGTCAAAGAGAGCAAGGGGCCAAGATTTCCAATTGGTCATTTCATGGGAACAATACTTATTCACTTTAAACACATCGGTACATAATAACTAAACCAATCATATGAAAAGTATGTAAGATAGTAATTTTGCAAGATAGTAATGAATAAACTAGAATTATTAAAATCTTTATTTTGACCATTGTAGAAGATTATTTTCAAAATTAATTTTAAAATATCATGTGATGTATTGAAAAAAAATGTGTTATCATTTTTTCCTTTGCAGTATTCAAAAACTACATATGAAGTATATTCAAAGATTGATTCAGTCACATCATTTTTTTCGTTTGCTTGTTAAATAAAATCAACTTCTTGTCTAATTGTTCAATCTTTATTGATGAGTTGATGAATGTGATTAATATCAACGTAACATCAATGTTGAAACTTTGTCATATGCATGTATTAATATCAAAAGCTTCAAATTTTTTACTGCAATTCTATTTATAAATACAAATATTTTTACTATTTTATCATATTTTAGTAAATGAAATTTATATATAAATTCAAATTTCAGATTGATGCTTTACATCATCTAAATTTACATGTATTTAAAAAAATTTATTGCAGAAATTTTTTATATTTAGATATATTTTTTTATGCAATTGAATTATTATTGAGCTCATCTATTGAAAATATCAATCTTTACTTCATATAGATTTTTCTTAAATGAGTCTTCATTTGACAGATCATTTGATCTACAGCATTTATTCAAAATAAAAATTTGGAATAGAATGTATGTATTTATTAATGATTAAATATATATTTTAATGTTTTTCCTTAAGAAATAATACATATCGATGCTACACGTAAATAATTAGAGCACATTGCGCTTTCAAGCAAAATTCTTTTGATAAGATTGATATCAAAATTTCAAAGTGTGATGGTTCATAAACTTCCTCAATTTTACTGTAAAACGTTAATATATGATTTAAGTATAATTGATATAATGTATGATATTCACATAAGGTACGTTTTGTAACCAACAAATGTCAGTTTCAAAAACTTTAAGCAAGATATGCATTTTCGAAAATTTAATTAAATTTAATTATATTACATTCTTTCTGATTATCTCCTTTGATCTCATTAGACAATGAATCTTTGAATTTTATTGTTGTTAGTATAAGTTTGTGTATTGTTCAAAAATCTTCGGTGAATTGTTATGTATCAAAAGTATGAAGATGTTTGTTAGGCGGTCGCCAATTTACCGTGTTGGTTCATCTTTGTAGTACTTGATATTGTACTTCCGTACTTTTTGTCATATTATTGGATGCTTCTGATTTTAGGGTATTGACCTGAGGATCTAGTACATGACATCTTACAAAGTCAGCATCATCGAGGTACGGTAGAGTGTCAATATCATATATAAACCAATGACTTATTCAAGAAAATGGTCCATGGTACAAGAATCCTTATAACCTTTTCAATCTGGTGCTCTTTGAGCGTCCTAATATTAGAAGTAAAATTCAGAAACAGAGCACTTTCTATCTTTCTTCCTGGTCAGACCTAAACATAATTTCGAGAGCAATCCCCCACGACGAAAACTCTCTCTTGGTTCGTGTGGCTGGAAGCAAGTTTATTATTCCATTTCATGAAGATATCTAACACAGCTGAAATCTTCTTGATTATCAAGAATATACCTTCGTGTTCAGCAGCATGGTATATAGGTGAGAAGAATATACGAGTAGAAGTGTGAGTGGGGAAAAAGCAGTCTAAAAAATGGTCACACACTTTAAGTTTGATGCTACAAATGCGTGTGCACATCCTTGACGTAATTTCAAGGAATGCAGCATATCCTCCACAATATGCTTGCACATTCTCTATTATCGAGTATATCCTTTCACATTCAAGAGCATAAGATATTACAAAAGATATATATATATATATATATATATATATATATATATATGATAGTGATGTATTGAGTGGCAATGAATGGTTTTAGACGGAGACACTGATTCTAGTCCAAATTCAGTTGCCAGGACCTTCTGGTGGAGGTCATAGCAATTTCCAACAAGTAACTTTACTTTACCGAAAAAGTCAATCGGATCTTTTTGTGATAGTATGCTTGACTTCGTCTTCCCTTTCCTCGCAGGCAAATGAGATTGAGAACATGAAAAAACAAAAGTAAAGTATGGGAAGAACAACACTTAGTTCAAGGATTCAACCATTCAAATAAAATTGCAGCCTTCTAGTATCACAATATGAGAAAGATTTTAGTCATTTCAAATTCTGTGGGTCACACACTCTCCACATCACACTAAGAGATACTTCATACGAAAACCAAAACTTCAAAATGATGAAACCTAAACGTCAGAAAAATCATCATCTACCTTTGCTTGTTCTCGTATAAATTGTCCAGGCAGAATTGCACTCATTAATGTACATTAAGTCGGTCATTCATTCAACCTAAGTATAGATGCTGGTTTACGAGCAAATATTCATTTCTAGACACTGTGGCCAGAACACTTCACTAGTAACATCGTGCTTAGCTATAAATCAGTTTAGCTATACGAATACAAGCAAAATGATATTATAATTTCACATGTGCATAATTTAGATATTAATGGATCAAAAAAGAAAAAAGAAAAGTGATCCCGTTGAAAAACAAATAAAGCAACTAAGAAAATCTTAAACTATGATCAAGCCTATAATTTTGAGCTTGAATCGTCATGAACAAAAGTTTGAAACATTCTCAATAGTACAAAGAGTGAATGTAGTTTTACAAAAATCAGCATTCAGTAATTGAATAAATGAATCATTTTACAGTAAATTGATGAAATAGCATTTTTTCATATTTTACATCATTAAATTTTACTTGTCATGCATTAATTTGTAATCTAGATTGGAAAAAGGTAACAAAGTTAAACAGAATGTTCAACTAATAAAACACAACACAATCTTTGTCATAAAAAAGAAATCCACAATCAATAAAAAAGTATGAAAATTTTTAAAATCTCTGATTGGTTTTAATTTATGGAATAATGACTTGATATGTTAGAAAATCATAATTTCAAAAACAACTAAAATGATAGTTTAAGCAAACGATAGAAATATTTTCAACAAATGATCAAGAAGATAGATCAAAATCATGAATGTAATAAGATAATTTTAATGATGATAAGTTTAATATTAGTTTTTTAATCCAATATTTAAATCCAACCATCATCGTGTATATTCTTGTTGTATAATAAAATCTCTTTATTCTTGCATTTAATGCAGTTATTTTTAAATATTCAGTGAATTAACTATTGATGTAATTAGTAAGCAATTTTTAAAATATTCAATGAATTAAATTTGATAATATTTTGAAGAGAAATATTACCATATGAATTGCGAATGAACATGTAATGAAGACAACTCCTTAACAAAATCGCATATGATTTATGTTGCAAGTATATAATAATATTTATTTCACATGAAATTTTCAAATTTTTTGAAGGTTATGATATATATTTGATATGATTAAACAGTATTATATGATGAATAAATATCACAGATGTATTATGATTAAACTTGTATTTTGACTTTGATTAGAATTCAAAGTGTTATTAAAACAGGAGGGTTTAAAAGTTAGCTCTTTCTAGAGTGAAACAAAAAATTATATAATATACATAAAATGCTTATATTCTTTCTTTTCTAGATCTTCTCAACAAATACAATGAGATAAATATCTCACTCCATCATACTATGCATTTTTAATAGATTATGATTTTGCGGATGTACTTAACAACCACAAAAATGGTTCATGTGTTGTTCTCAACTGATTCACTAACTAACTTACTCAATCATGATTTAACAAGCAAACGAATTATTAAAGTGTTGTTATTAATCAACACATCCACTTCTTATCTATCAAATACACAAATTACTAACATGACATTTTAAAACAATCCATTATAAAACAATTATATATCTATCTTGAATAATTTTTTTTCAATTCTAACTAATAAAAAATTGTTACAAATAAATCACATCTTTCATGTTTTGCAATCTATATATATTTGTATTGAATGTTTGGCAATTGATATTGAAGTGAGTATGAAAAGAACAAGATGTAACCAACTGATATTGGTATAACTTTAAAACTTGCCGTCATTCATTTGTGCTGGAATTGTGATATGATATGAAGATAGTTTAAAAAAAAAAACTTTTTTCTTTTGTTCACTTGTTCATTCAATAGCCCTTTGCTATGATCTTGTCTCATCCCAATCCACATTGATTTCATCAAGTATCTGGGATCTGCAATCCTAATTCAAATTAATCTTACAACAAAATTTACATGATATATTGATATTTTTGCTCTGCAATTGATTGATTAGCTAAAACAAAATATTGACATCAATTGTTTCATTAGATATGATAATTTTAAACAAAAGGTGTACTAAATTTATAGATATTCTTTACATGAGTTTTTAATCCAATGAGGTGTATAAATTGACATATAGTACATAAGGTATCAATTCTCATTATGGAGGGAGTCCCCATGAAGATAATTGAATCAAAAACCAGCAAAGTATAAAATCATCACATATAGAAGCCGATCATAGATCTCATTGAATATACACAACCACAAGTGCCTTAAAAACACGTAAAGAAAGTATTGATTCGTTTAAAAACATATAAACAAATTCCTAGTTATTTTTCCTCCTCCATGAAGATCAAAAGTAATCACAATCTTTATATATATATATATATTTTCAACTACCTCTAAGAAAATAGCATCATTGGCAGGCCAGGTCCCCTTTACCACACGGGAGTGAGTGACAATTTAAGATATACTAGGTGGCAAAGAAATAGGCTGCTGCGAAATACCAGGCATTTTCGCCCGAAACCATAATTTTTGGAGATTGATCGATTCCACATGTATTTTTGCGACTTTTCATGTTTTTAGTGAAGGGACTCCTCCTTCTGCATTGCAATTCCACATAGATGGGGAGAGTATGCTCTCTCTCCATAGTCTAAATATTTGTTGGCAGCTCCTTTTCACTCTGAAGACGATGCCGCTAGTGTGGTAGACGTTATGTATTATCTCAAACTGGAAGACTCAGGCATAGGGAAACCGCGTTATCTTCCAACGAGGAGCTTAGTGCCGGATGCGTTAAAGGGCATCGGTAAGGAGTTTACGTTTGAATGGGTCCCATCTAGTAACTATCTAACTATACCTAACGTGCGTGTTGAGTTCGGTGATGAGTGGATCAGCTCAGATTAGCAGTTCCCCTAAGGCGAGTTCCGACCTTCCGACATCTAGGAGGAGGAGGGACGCGGGTGAGGGTCAATTAGCGTTAACTGAGCTATAACTAGCCGCTTCCAGTTTTTATTTCATTTCGTTACAGAGAAAGAAAGGAGAATAGAATGGTCGAGCATTCATTGCCAAACCCGATCAGCCATCGTGGCTTCAGGAAACAGGGCCGTTGCGTCATCTTGGCTCGAGTACCTTCGTACGAGGAGGAGCGCCGAGTGTACGTCGCGCGACCGGTCGTACACAGGCCGCCGGGAGGACATGGACACGTCATCCTCCGGTGGAACGCCGACGTGGCATAAATCGATGAAGCGCGCGCTCAGGCTCGTCCGGACACGGGGTCGCATTCAGACCAGGCCCCATCGGCCTCGACCGCAATGCAATCGCGATGCAACGCAATTCCACCTGCCCTCTGATTCGGTGTTGCGCTCATAATTGCCGGCGGAATCATCCCTCGATGCGCAGCTCGCCTCAGCATCGCCCGAATGCAATACCTCCGTTCGTGCGCTTCTTAGCGGGGGGTTTCTCCGTCGATGCTCGAGGAATCTGAAACTTGGCGTGCGATTATTGTTTTTTCCCCGTCGGGTGTATCTCTCTCGGTTTTTACCCTAATTCTTTCTTGTCCGTCAATTTTTCCCGAGAAATTTCGCCTCGGCAATTGCGAGTTGAGGGATTTTATCCGTTTGACAGGGTGCTACATTTTGCGCGCTGGCCACCGGCCATTGCTGTGGCTATAGATCTTCCCCGTAGCTGGAAGCGGAGCTCGCAGAGTCGGGAAAGTACAAGGTTGTTATATGTTTCTGGAAGACGAGCTGCTTTAAGAGCTTGGGATCCTTAATTGCCAACCATTTTCCACAGACGAATTGTAGTGTCGCTTTTCTATCCGGAACTCGTCGCGGCCTTGCGGGAGCCGACGGACGTCCATGTGGTGCACTTTGATTGCCTACACATTACGCGGCTCCCTGTCTGTGCTGCGGGCTTTCTGGACTGCAGCGGAATATCAGAATGCCATCAATGTCTTTGCAGGGACGAGGGAACCGATCCACGTGAGACTGGGAAAGAAGAAACTCACGTCCCATGAGCAAGAGCGGATTGATCTTCAAGGACCGCTTGCTTTCGGAAAGCCATCTCCAGTTGCCACATGTCGATCCTCTGCTGAGACTGGAGGGGATCTAGATTGGATTGTCAGCAGAAGGCAGTATACCCATTTGACCCTACAAATCGGTAGACTGCCTTCCGCTGCGTGCAATTACGGGATGACTTACTTTGACCAGCGGCTTTAGTTGGGGCTTGTGGAAGTCAGCATCGGAGGACTCGGAGGTGCACCGAAATAGTGATCGGCAGACCATTACCTGTCGAAATGGTTCATGATCTTAAGATGAATCTTGGAGGAAGGTACAACAATTTATCCAATCGCCACTAAAGTGTTCTCCTCCTTCCCTGGAAGGCGGCTTCGTAGTCCTTCTCGTACTTTCACTTTTTGACCATTTTACCCTAAAGTGGTAAAGATCGACATCATGGAAGTTCTCCAACGAAGACTTCGTCCTGAGGCAGGTAAAGGTTTGAACCAGTAAGATAAGGCGTAACCAATGTTACAACAACGTTAATGCCTCTCGTATCACCTAAGCATACATGGCATATGAATATATATCAGATACTGATCTCATTCAATTTATCTAGAACAATTGAAATACGTTGCTCGAACTAACTAAGTGATACAATAAATAACCTGAAGAGAGTGATCTTTTTGGTAAACTTTGTGAGCACCTTCAAAGATATATATATATACTTATTTCAGGTTGTTTTCTCAATGATGAAGTCAAAGAGTAAGAAATTTTCTATTTATCAAATATTATTAATATACATAAGTTGTGTGTCAAATTTTTCTTATTGATAAGCATTGGCTTCTAACTCAATAGAATTTCAAAGGAGGAAAAGAAATTAGGCGAAGACGACGACCCCTTTTGGGAAAACTTTTGGGGGGACGTTGTCAGATTTGTCTAGCGGGTAAGGTGTTCTGCAGAACAAGAGGGTCGCCGGGTGCACTACTCTCCCCTTACTTGGTGCCGCTCCATTCAAGGAGAAGGACATCTTATCTCCACAGTGTACAAGGTGGCATCAATTTCAAGAACAAAAGTATAGCATTTCAGTCTGGTATGAAAAATCTATGATTCTGGACGTGTGCAGGCAGGACCAGGCAGTCAGTGGGCTGTGGAGGGGCTTCAGGAGGCGCTGACGGATATCCATGTTTAATCCTCCAGGACCGCGGAAAGAGGAAAAACTTTGGAGGCATCAAATCTCGAAAAAGAATTTTCAGATACCCTGGGTTCAGACACTACCTTACACTTTGTTGATCGTTGGCTCAGATTTTGTCCACAATTGTTCGTAATAGACTGTTTCTTTCCGGGTTTGATTCAGACAGGACAGGATAGTGTCTCGGTCGGGGCCCTACCTCCCCCGCCTCCATCGCCTGCCCTGTTCTGCTCCTTTCGGCTCTGACCTGACCGGTTGCCCGCCCCGCGTGCAGGTGGTGCTGTTGTTGTTGGTGTTGTTTGCTGGGTTCATGTATGTATCCAGTCAGGGGATTGGAGAGAATTGGGCGATGATTTTGCTATAAGGTCCACAAATTGCGCAACGCTCAACGGATTATCTGAAGCGGGGCACTGTCATTTCGGATGTCGTGCTTGTCTGCGAGACCTCTTCATGTAGTTTAGTAGAGGAATGTGAGTGTTGGCTTCCGAGAGGGGGGCCAGGGCAGCCTGCTTAACCGTGGGTGTGTATGATCTGGTTGTCTGTCTGTCCGTCAGGTTCTGCTTAAAAAAATGGGGCTGGTAGAACAGACAATTGGAGGGTGGGAGGGTTGGATTGGGTTCGAGTGACATCATGAATTCTGGGTTTTAAGGCGGTCCTTTTAAAATTCTCATCGAGAGGGGGGCAGACGAAGGAAGAGAGGCTCGTGAAGGCGAGGTGGAGCAGGTGGAGGAGTAATAGTGCCCGGGCTCTTCTAAATTGACCAATTAAAAGAAGAAAGGTGGCTGTAGCGGTGTGTGAAGTCAGCGAGGTGAGTGGTCCTCTTGTTTGTCTGTCTTTCAATCAGTGGAGGTGTCCTTCTGCTGTTTTTGCTCCTCGTCTATCCGTGAAATGATTTATCTCGGGGCCTCGACGTCTCTGGGAGAATGCGGAAAGCGCATGAGATGCTTAGACAAGTTTGGTGTTTCGATCGCAGGTTGATGGTTTCCTGTCTGTAAGCGAGAGGAGAAACAAGACAATTTCACCTGGAAAACGGTTTGTCTCTCTCGAATTGGCCCGAAATTTTTGTGGAAATGAGTCTCGTGTGATTTTCGTCGGTAGCCGGTTGCAAGTTTTTGTGGCAGATGTTGTACTTCGCTCACCAGTGTATTCAATGATTCGGGGTTCTGCAGTCTGTGCTCATAGATTGCAGACGCTTTGCCGAAATATCTATCATCAATTTTGTGCCCAATTATTCTCCACATACACATCTCGTGGATGAAACAAGCTGCTGTGCATCCTTTCCATGCCTGAGCAGACAATTGTAAAGTTGTGTCGTCCCGTCCTTCCGGTCAGCAGGACCTCTCTTGGAAACTTTGCCCATATTGTGAAAGTGCTCGACTGTGATGTCGCCCGTAAAAGTTTTGACTGTCGACTTTTGGCGTTGAGAGCCAATTGAAATGAGGATGTCAAAAGAAAAAACGCGGTGACTTTGATTGCCCCGGTACCTCTCGCTGGAAGATTTGGATCTCGTATTGAGATAGAGTGTTGACCTCGTAACCTTCGTTTGACGCCCCACGGGAGATATGGTAAGTCGAGTTCGATCTTTCGACTTGACTTGAACAATTTCATAACAAATGTTTGTGTATCGACTTTCCCGTAAATCACATTTAATTCGAAACTCTTCTATCTCATGTCTCAGGCGATTCCTGTGCTTTGAGTGTGGTATGGTCCTAGGTGACTCATTCCAAAAGCTTTTATCGGGTGATTGGCGCAAGAATAAAGATGAGATATTATCAATTTGAGCTCTGACATGTTAATTGGCACAGTAATTGAGTGTCAAAAACCATTTGTGCGAGGATTCAATGAGTCCTTCAGCTTTCTCTTCTCACAGGAGTTTCTGAAACCAGATTTTTTTTATTTATCACATCGCGTTTTAGTCAAGAGGTGGAAAGTGATTGTTCTAACCGGTAACGCGCATTCCTGCCTCTTGAGTACTTGATTTGACACCGGAGATGCTTTTAGTTGCGTAGGATGACACACTGAAGTGATCTAAGGATGTTACTCAGTTCGGAACTTCCCTTCATGCAGAAGATGAGTGGCATTCTCCACTTGTATTAATACGAAGTTGACTCCCCGTTGTTAGCGTCCAAGTGGATTGGAAGTGAGCTCGGTGAAACTGGTCAAAGTGGTGGGGTGTTAGAAGATTTGGACTTCGATGAGGATGGTGGGAAGATTATTTTGAAGACAGATGCTTGGTTAGTAGAATATTGAATACTGAACTGGAATTCCAGACGAATCGCCCGACTTGAGCCTGGTTAGAGGTGGACGCCCTATTACAATTGCTAATGTGCACTGTGTGTGGGAAGCTGGAGCCTCCCACTAGGAAGTAAAGTTTCCCCTTGTATTCAAGCCGGAGCTTAATGATCTGGTCCTGCCGCACTACTCCTGTAAACTATCGCAGTGAATCTGCGGGGCGAGCTCCCTGTGTTCATGGGCCATATATATGAGCCTACTTGCTCATGAGAAAAATGAAATTGCGCTGTTGTTTGCTTATGCGGCTCCGAAATTATGTTGTAGGCTATACTCTGCTGTATCTTTTAAACTTTGTTCTTAACTGACCATCCGACTAGGTGTTATATGACAGAAAGTTGTAGGTAGGAGTTTTTTTGCAGTAAGAGCTTCTACTTACGTGCTTTTGCTGGTGATGGTTTCTTAGTTTCATCCTCAAGAACCTTCGAATGTTCGTTGCCTGCGCTAGTATTTGCACACACACCGCTTCCATCTCATAAATGTCTTAATCTCTGTCTATGTGAAAGCGTCTGGTTTTATTATTCGAACGTTTCAGCTATGTTTGTGTCGCTCATACTTTTTATGGAAATTGGTGGCAGGCAGGAAGACGTTAAGTGGTAGGAGGAAAGAAGAAACACTCATGGTGGAACAGAGAGCTGCCATGAAGACACGTTGGGAAGTTGTAATTTTGCTGTTGCTCCTCCTGGATCCGCTCAATGTTAGCGCTAAGAAACACAGAGAAATCAAAGGGCCCATTAAAACGGTGGTAGTCCTGGTGATGGAGAATAGGTCATTTGATCACATGCTAGGTTGGTTGAAACGGCTCAACCCAGAAATCGATGGACTGACGGGTAAAGAATGCAACCCGACTAACACTTCTGATCCCAGTGCCAATCAAGTCTTCGTCACCGACAATGCGGAGTTTGTGGATCCGGACCCTGGTCACTCCTTTCAAGCAATTCGAGAGCAGGTCTTCGGCAAGAATGATACCTCTGCCGTTCCACCCCCAATGAATGGATTTGTTCAGCAAGCAATAAGTATGGAGTACGAAACAGGCTTTCCAGAGAGAGTTATGAGCGGCTTTCGTCCAGAAGTAGTTCCTGTTTCCACGGCTTTAGCAATGGAGTACGCTGTATTCGACAAATGGTTTGCCGCAGCCCCCACTTCCACACAACCGAATCGACTATATATCCACTCGGCCACTTCCCACGGGGCCATGAGCAATGTGAGGGCTGATCTTGTTGCAGGATTCCCTCAAAAGCCGATTTTCGAGTCTATTTCGGATGCAGGGCTTACTTGGGGGGTGTACTACCAAAATATACCAGCCACACTCTTCTTTTCAGATCTTCGGAAGCTGAAGAATATTTTGAAGTTTAAGGACTACAGTCTATTCTTCAAGCTGCATGCGAAGATGGGCCTTCTGCCCAACTACGCTGTGATCGAGCAGCGATATTTTGACTTGAATTTGTTGCCCGCAAATGACGATCATCCATCTCACGATGTTGCTGAGGGACAAAAGTTGATCAAAGAAGTGTACGAGACACTGCGGGCGAGTCCACAATGGAAGGATATGCTATTTCTGATCACATACGATGAGCACGGAGGGTTCTTCGACCACGTTCCTACCCCTGTGACTAATGTCCCTAATCCCGACGGGTTGGTTGGACCCGAGCCGTATTACTTTGCATTCGACAGACTCGGTGTGCGCGTGCCGACTATTGCCATCTCACCTTGGATCAACAAAGGCTCAGGTGGGTTAACACCCACAATGTTTGTTCTCTTTCCTTGGATGGAGTAATTTCTCTTTTTGTTGTTGTGTTTAATATGAATAAAATTACTATCATGTTCACTTTATCACTAGTGTAAAAAATAATTTGCCCTATTGCTGGCGTAGTACCAACTTGAATTTGTTCGATTTGTACCAACGTGTAGAATTTCAAAACCAGCGAACTGAAAACTTGTTGGTGTTACGCTCTGGCAGTTGTGCATAAACCTGATGGACCAACACCCGATTCCCACTACGAGCACTCATCAATTGCAGCAACCGTCAAGAAGATCTTTGGATTGGAAGGTTTCTTGTCGAGAAGAGACGCATGGGCAGGAACATTCGAACACATAGTTAATCAGAGAAGTGAGCCGAGGGATGATTGCCCAAGTGAGTCAAGACTCACTTACTTCTGATGAGCATATGTATTGGTTATTGATTATTTATTTCATAATTGTACGTTGCGGTAGCAGGTTTTGTTCACCTCCTTATCCTTCTTCTCCATCATTTGAGAGGTATAGCGAGCCATACTTGTGTCTGCATGTATTTTGTGGGAACTTGTACTCTGTCATGTAGACTTTGGTGATTCTTTCCTTTTGGAAACCTATGTAAGCGTGTGCCTTTTCCTCTTTTCAATTGGTTTTTCCAACCAAACATACTTGAAGATAATATGATCTAGCTGCCAAGGGACTTACAGATTTTTCCATGTGATGTGACAGTGGACCTTCCCAACCCTCCATGGTCTTTGAGGCACGTTCCAGCCGATGAAAGCCGTAAGCTGACAGAGTTCCAGCAGGAACTGGTACAACTGGCCTCTCAGCTGAATGGAGACCATGTTCTGAAGGAGTATCCTAATCTTGGTAAGACAATGACTGTGAAAGAGGCGAACGATTATGTGAACAACGCAGTTGCTCGATTTTTCAAGGAGGGTGAAGAGCAGTTGAAAGCAGGAGTGAACGAGTCGACCATATTGCAGCTTAAATCTCTCCGACAGAGTTTCGAGGACTCTCCTCTGACTGGTAGGAGCGAAAGCTTCTCAAGATCTTCTCTACTGCAGTCCAGTTAGTCGTCCAATCTGTTACAAATCATGAATCACTGATAGTGTGTACTATATAGAAATAACCACCTACAGCGCATTGGAAACGACCTTGAGGTTTTTGTAGAGCTACCCACCTCGAGAATTATATACACGAATATACGTAGAAATTGCTCAAATGTACCAATAGAATCTCCTTTCATCTTAAGTTACATGTATCAGTATCGCTCCAATCAAATTCCTAGCAGATCGCGCATATCCATTAGTTGTTCGTAACAGTGTAACATATTGATCTTCTCGCTGTATATTCAGTATAAAATAGTATATAGTGCTAGACTTCCATCATCTGTTTGCTGGATGAAAAGATTATTGAACATCAAAGTCGATATTCTGAGAACGTGTTGAAGGTTACAAGCAGGTGCAGAGTCGAGGACCAGTCAGTCTCTAGCATTCGGAACTTGTTTCAACTTATATGTACTTAACTGAAGTAAGAGTATGACTGGAGTATGTAACTTTTCGCCCAGCCATGCTTTCTATATCAAGTGAGGATCTAAAATATTATCGCCCAAAGTTCTGCCAAGAACGGGCCTTTCTCCTTGCCTGTATTTTGTATTCTTACTGGATTTGCAGTTTGGCACAGACAAAAAGCTCCTTTATTGGTTTGTGTGCACTTTAGTCGACCCTGCAAGTGTCTAATGACTCAATACTTCCAGCATACTTGTCATTTGGCCTCGTTTTATCTGCAATTTGTCGCTTGAGATGCGGAAGGCTTGGTGTATTGATGGAAGTTGTAGTTTAAACTTTCCAACATGTTTCGTGTGCTTGTTATAAGCTGCAAGTCGTTAGTTACTTACTTCGCCCAATGGAGAGATTGCTGCTACATTTTTTTCCCAATAACGCTGCAAGTGTGTTCCGTGTCGCATGCGCTCCTTATCGACAGAATTATGCCGTCGCTTGAATGTCACTTTCCAGCTAGTGGCGGAGAACTGACTGCAGCCTTTATGAATGATCTCTGATCCAAAGAGCTAACAGTTATGAAACCTTTTTTCAGAGCATGTCCCAACTTGTTTTGCAACTCACTCAAACTTGTAGTGCTACACCAAAGTTTGAAGCTTATTTGAACCAACCAAGCCAGAGCGGGAGTAAATCAAGGGGAATTTCTCTTCACCACGCATGAATCGTACATTCCAGCTATGTCCTGCATTAGTCATTCATAGATATGGTCTTCTACTTCACTGTTGCTGTTATTATGTGTTACCTGGCGGCAGTACACACATTCTAACACCAATTAGTGAGATCTCAAAGCCAACTGTGTTGAAATCTTGCCCTTTGAGCAGGAAAGAATTGAAGAGAAAAAGTTCTCAAGACCTGGCGGATTTGGTATACATATGTCTCGTATGGAAGTTGTGTGAGCTACTGAGAAATGGATCGCTGTCTCAGTCATTCATCTGAAGGTAGTAGTTGCTGATGGAGAAGAGATATGGAGCAACAATCTCAAGAGAAACTCCTCCAGATGAATCACTGATACTTATCATTTCCTAGTATTAATCGATTACTAAGTTTTACCTTCTATCTCAGTAGAGCGAAGAAAAATATTTAGTACAGGAGAAAATATCTATACCTGCAGCAGTATGCACTCACATGATCAACCTCGGTAGAACTGAGCATACTGACAAGATTCCAGAGACAAGTCAATTCTACATTTTCCTTTTGAACGTTGTGCAAGAAGGATCACAACGCAAGCTAGCTTGAAGCAAATACTATTCAAAGTCCATATGAACTGCGAAGCATTACTGCTTCTACCGAACGTGAAGGAAGATCTGGGATTACTCCACACTTATTGTTCCCACAACCTTTGACCTGGGATCTCCATGTACATGTACATCTGCTTGTCCAGACGTGTTGCATGTCAAACAATGTGTACAACGCCATCAGGACGGAAAAGCTGCAGAAACGGCAATAAACATGTCCAAGTTGACCTTTGAAATCCCCAAGACAATAATGTCTTGAAAACTGTGAACTCTTCTCAGCAATCGACCAGTGGAGAAGACGACGAAACAAATGTCACATACATGACTGCGTATCAGTCAATACTTTTCCAGTATGATCATACTTTCGGAGACATTATTCAGCTACAGCGGAATGCATTTCTGAAAAGGCACGACGATGCGGACAGTCACTGACACTGCCTATGGAACTGATGATTGTGATCAGGAGGAGCTTAGGTCTGACATTAGAGAAAGAAGTACAAATTCAGATATTGGTTATTTTATTTAGTAAATGTATTGAATCGATGTACACGTTTCCTCGATTTAAATTGCCTGATATTGCAAGCAGCAAAGTAACACGTCTAGAAAAAATCATTTGTTGTATCATGAACATGATGTTTATGTTGCTTCCGAACATCCCAAGCTTCCCGAATCGAGCGGAGACTCTGGCACAATCCGAGCACAGTGTAGTGGCAGAATTCAAGTCCCGCCCTGTCAAGCTCATCTCATGAATCTTCACTTGTTCCCGATCCACATCATTCCGTTCATCATAGGACCAGGAGCTGATCCGGACCTCAAATCGACTGGGCGTTAGCATGCATTAGAATGGAATGTGGAATGCTACATATATTATTGATCAAGTAGGTGAGATCCTTTAGCATTTTTTAAGTTAGTCTCTCCTAACCTTTGTTGACTTTCCACTTTGTGGTTGCATATAATTCTGTCTATGGATAGTTTGTATGGTTACGGATTTGGGGCTGTGATCTAATATGAACCTATCTATGGATATATATTATCCATATTGTATTGAAATTATATCTCTTACAAGTACTTTTACAGCTTAAAAGACTTTTTGGTTTTGGAATTTAACATAAATTTCTTTCCTTTTTTTCAGTCAATAAATATGTGTATGATATAGAAGTTTGATTTTTTCGGGATAGTGTATGGATTTATAGTTTTGATAATCTTCAACTTCATTTATCGTGGTTCAAATTATTTGACGAGAGAGAGACTAGGTCTAGCTCGTTTTTCTCTTGCATGCTTTTGGATTTGTACTCAAATATGCATTCAAAATTATATGACTTGCATATGATATATTTTCATAACTATGAAATTCCATTTAGGGTTGATAAATCGATTGAGATAGTTATACTAAAGAGTGATTGTGATATAAATTAGGTGAGGGTATGAAAACACATATGTTATGTTAACTTGAAATACAAAAAACTATACTATGTCTTTCAAAATATAATGTTTGAAGTGGCAAATGAATTTTTTACCTCATGAAACTTATGTTGGTATACATTGCAGTTGTCTATGGCAAGTTAAAAAAATTAAATAGCCAAATACATATTTAGTTAAACTTATTTTATTATTTCTAAAAAAATTATAAGTTTAGTATTAATAATGTTGCTGATCTTAAATAACACTTGAAGTTCCAAAACTTATAGTACTAATATTCGAAGCAAAAAAGCTGAAAGGAGTAACATTTGAAGCGAAAAAGCTAAATATAGTATTAAACTGGAAAGGCAGGTGCGACTAGTTTTGACGAGAATGAGGGACAATGTTCCAACACTTTCTATTTATACTACTAGGATGCTACTGTAAAACTCTAATTTTCAAAAATTGACCCCGCCTTTTAAGTTAGAAAAAGTCCGCAACATCTAAAGTTGGAAAAAACTAGCAACCTCATTGCTACCCTCACGTCCGTGATATTACCTCCCCTTTAGCAACAAGTTGGAAAAAGTCTGCATCCTCCTTGCTCCGTCACTTCCGTGATATCATCCCTATTCACCAACAATTTTTCACGATTTGTTCTATATATATTTATCTTATTTAAAAAAAATCTATTATAAAAAGACGGTGATCTTGTGAATATCACATAATTACCGCATGTTTAATTTAAAAAACTTTGGCATTCAATTTTGTTGGATATTGATATGAATTTTTTTGATTACTTTGGAAGAGTAAGCAAGATTAGCAACAGTTTCCAAGTTCGATTGCTTATTTCATAACCTAATAATGTATAAGATATCCTAATCTTCTTTGATTGATGCGGAACTCGATAATCCTAGAAACTTCAATTTTTCTTCTTTATTAATCTCGATTGATGGGTTTATTTAGTCCACAATATTCCACGTTCATAAGAAGGAAGCAATTTTTCTTCTTGACAAATAGAATAGTAGCTCTGGTGTTTGACTTGGAATGTCGAATTAAATAATTCGCAAGATTTTCACCAAAGTAATTCCGCAATGCGACAATCTTGTTATAGAAAAGATTGTAGATTGAACAAAAGAGAGATTGCACAACTTTTTGGAGTTTGATCTCACAATCATAAGATCAATCTGAACAAGTGTATCAGCGTTCTTCTTGTCAAACACATATTGATAATCTTTATATTCTATTGATAGCTTGGTCAATTTTTAAATAGATGAAGATGTAGAAATTGAATAGATTGCAAATAAATTTTCATTCTTGGTAGCCATCATAAAGTCTCTGACACTTAACGTCAACAGAACTTTGAGCTCGGATCTTGTACTTAATAAAGATACAGATTTGGAATACATCTAGTGTGTTTAGACAAAATATCACAAAATTATGATTTGATATGCTAGCTTTTGCTTGTTCCAAATTATATCCAAGTTATTCATCTCTCTAACCAAGAAAGATCTAAAACAAAAGTACTAAAGCAAAAAGTAATGATATTGAATACAATAGTATTTCACTATACTAATAGTATAATGTCCAAATGTATAGTTCTGTGAGTAATATCTCTTGAAATAAAGGAAATATTGTCAATAAAATCTACTGTCGCATGCTATGTATCAGGTATTAAAAAAAATATTATGACATTTTACAAGCTTTTTAGAAATAAAACAAGTAGAGGTTGTGGAATATGACAAAATTTTAACTTTCAACTTATGTGGAATAAAGTTTTGATTTTAAGCAAAATAATAAAACAAGAAGAAGGTTAAGAATTTAGAATGTAATCTATTCACGTGACAATATCTAACGTGGTTGTTGTTTTCTAACTCTATTTCTTGTGTCTTTGCTCATAAGTTTTTAAGGTTTATCAAAATTTATGCGCACTTGATACTTGAGATTTCAAAAGACAGTTGTTTAAGTTGTGATACTTGCTTTTCTATAAATATAAAAGCACAAGTGCTCATGCGACGTCTTTCTTTCTCTTCTTTGATTTTTACTTTTTGATCAAGATCACATGCAAGTTGTTAAAATTTTGGAACGTATCTTGAAATTAGAAGCAATCTTTACGCTGGAGTGTCAAGTGGAGCTGAGATTTTGTACTGTTGTTAAGTCTGGCCTGGCGCACATGCCTGCAAAATTTCAGCCTCAACGGAGCCGGTGTGAAAAAGTTATCAATTCGGAGCTTTGAGTTTAGGTGTTGGAGGCTAGATTTTGCGATAATCATATCTTTGTGTTTGAGTGTAAACTGAAGCTAAAATTCGATTGAGTTGTTGAATTTGGCTGACTGCACATGTTTGCAAAATTTCAGCCTCAACGGAGTAGGTTTGAAGAAGTTATCAAATTTAAACTTTGAGTTTGTGTGAAACTTTGCAAAGTTGGATACATGATGGCTTCTGAATACAAGCTACTCAATCTTGTGCAAACGATTTTGGAAGCATTGAAGGTGACCTGACAAGAATTCAAAATACAAACTGCTGTCTTGACTGGTGCAAAAAATGAAATTCAAAAGTTGAAGATTCAAAATCATGGTCTTCACAAAAGTTTCGAGAAGAAAATGCTTGAAATTTCTAGATTTGTTGAGTATATTCAAGAGAAAGTTTATTCTCAAGCTTCTACTTTTGATATTCCTAGATTGCATGAAGTGGTTGAAAGTTTAGAGGTGAAAATGATGTCTTATGTTAAAACTACCAAGTCTGGTCATATCTCTGTTTTTCAAGAGCAAGAGATTGAAAAGACAAATGAATTTGCTTGTAGAAAGAATGTGAGGATTTCGGGTGTACCTGAATCTGAAAATGAAGAATTGAATATTGTTGTCACCAAGTTCTTGGCTGAAACACTTGTTGTTTCTAATCCGAATTTGGCTCAAGCTTTTTGTATTAGAAACAAATGAGTCGAACTTCGTGTCATTATTGTTGAGTTTGTGGATCAAGTTGAACATGGTACTGCTATAGCTAACAAGGTCATTATCAAGGTACAGAGCATTTGGTTGGATCCTGATCTTACAGCTCTACAAGTTGAAGCAAGGAAATAACTTGCAAAAGTCAAAGAAGCTCAAGCAGCAAATTTTGTCGCTTTTTTATGTGATAGTCAAGCTATTATTACTCAAAATTAAAAAAAATTATCAACCTGGCAATCCAAGTGATTGAGGGTGTTGATGTGAAAAATAAAAGTCCTATCTACAACAAAGTATGTAAGTGCACATTTAATTTGGAAGATGGCAGACATCATCCACATTGTGGAGACTTGGAAATATGAGAGCAATGCTATTAAGGAGATACAAGGGTTCACTTTGGTTGAATATACTCAGAGCCATAAATATCGACAAGCTGTAAGAGGCTTTGGAGACATTGCTTGCATCAAAGCCAAGATATTGGGAAAAAATATCATTGATGTTGTCTTGGATTGAATGGAGTATGTTACAATTATTTGAAAGTTTGTTACTTTGCATCATTATCCATGCAAATTTACTCCACAAGCACTTGCAATCAAAGTCAACCTTTCCATCAATTTATAGAAGTGAATAGCCCATTTTATAGGCCTAATCTGGGCTATATAGTCTTCCAACTAACACACTCAATCCTTACATAACAAGCACATGGATCGCTGATGTGGCGCATTCAACTAACACATCGACTTTCTACCTACCAAGAGCACAGATTGCTGGCAGTTATGACAAGTGTACGCTAAAGTATCAATATCAACATTTAGAAAAACCTCTATTTTAGTTCTAACTAACCAAAGATTGTTACATTTGCAAGCGTATTAAGGATGAATTTTTCAGCGTTATCTGAAACAAACGAGACATTAAAATAAAGTTTTATCAACTTCATGTGAATGATATGCTTGTTTATCGTGAGCAAGTGTAACTACTTGCAGAGATTTCTACATCTTTATGTCATATTATATTGCTCGGCATAGAACATGATTTCATAGTCTTGGGATTGAGGAAGTGCGTTTGTTGAACATTTATATGAGTGAACGTATTTGTAGGCTATGTGATGGGAGAAAAGTTGAGTATGAAAAACATGTTTTTGTTACTTGTACTAGATATATAGGGATTAGAGTGGCTCGTAAGGTTGTTGTTGAGAATTTTTATTCTTTACTACAGCTTGAGCCTTATGATTTAGGTTGTTTTATGAGAGATGTTATTAGTTTTTGTTCTAGTGATCTTGGCACTAACTAGGGGATTCTTTTGGTTCTCTCTTGGTTTTGAGTTTGATTTTTTGTATTGTGTTTTTTAGCCTTTTCACTCTTTGAATCCCACGGGCTTGATCTATTTACCTTTTACCATTTATTGTTGTGGTTTTTGAAGTTTTGTTGTTATTATAAGGATTTGATCTCTCTAAGAATATTTCCAAGAATTGATCAAGTTTTCTTAGAAGCGGAGAATATTTCTCCAATATTGACAAAAACCAAGATTACGTGATTTTGGTAATAGTGATTCAATGAGTCCAACTTGTTTTTCTGATTAGATACAGAGTACAATTTGAATTTGATTGACAAATTCTTGAAGTTTTGTACAATATCCGTCAAACTTCTCTGGCAAACTTACTCTAGATTATTTTTGAGCTTGTGCAACTAGATGTAAGATGGGAACTGTACATTGAAACTTGGAGCTGTTCCATGAAATTTTGTAAGTTGTCATTCTTTTGTTGCAACATGTCATCCACATCTTGCATGTGTATGTGAGAAGCGCTAACCATCTTGATAGTGGACTCAATCAAATTATTCCAAGCAACAGCTCAACCAAAATTTGGAATAGCATTTATTTTTCCTCAATGTCGCTAACACCAGGTATTACGGGAACACCAGGTACAACTGGTGTTGACAAGAATGAGGAAAAATGTCCCTAATCTCTCTATTTATAATGTTAAGACGTTCTTGGAAAACTCTAAAGTTGAAAAAACTCATCACTATTTAAAGTTGGAAAAATCTATTTCGTCATTGCTATTTCGTCCATAATTTTCAAATTCCCAAAAAGTTGATATTATTGTATATTTGATTATGTGAGAGTGAATAATGCATGTGATTAAAGTCTGGAAAAGCCATAATATTTCCTTGCATTTGAAAAATCATGAAGATAATAACAAAAGTATCTAAGAATGAAAGTGTGCAAAGAATCAACTCATTATTCATTAACTTCAAATCATTTCATCTATAGTTACATGGTGTTATAGTTGATGGCACATCTTGTAGACAAATCCCTTCTCGCTAGTTGAGATTCTTTAACTCTTACGCCATTTCTCGTTCTGCTTTTGATGCAAAGATAATGTAGATAATAAGATGTACATTTAACGCTTCGTGTATTTTTTGTGAAATTATGAACTTTGATATTTTCACGAAAACATTAGTAAAGACACCACTAGAGTCGTGCGGAAATAAGATTTATCCTGTTCGATGTTATTCCCCGCTTTGTCTACAAACTGCATCGCTTGCGGTATAGGTATCATGCAAAAAAATACCAGTTTTCACGTGCAAAGGATAATTTAAATCTGTCAATTACACCTCTTGGTCGGGTTGTGCAGAATTTGTGGTATTATTCGGAGTACAAATAAATATGGTGGAGCTTCACCACTTATCTTCACTACTACATGCTAATTTATATGAAAATCCTCCACGACGACACTGGGCGCTAAGCTTTCTAGCTGGAACACCACATTTTCCAATAACATCTTCGACCTTAAAAAGAAGCTGCTCTCTGATCTTTGTTTCAAATACCTGTGAGAAGATAGAGTACCCCTTCATAACTGCCACTCACTTAGAATACTTCAACAGTCTTTGCTTCTCGGCACAAGAAGCATTCGAAACACATTGGCAACCCCTCATGGAAGGAATTCCAAAGAGGCTGGACTGGCTGTATACATCCATACATTACTTTTGATACAGGACTTCGTGAGTTTGGATCAAGTCCGCAACTGGAACGGGTATTCCACTCGTCTGTGAGCTTGTCATAGTTAAAGTAAGACACCAAGACGAGCTCTGTAACAGCTAGAGGGCGATAATCTCTTCACTCGAATTATCTGCTCCCCGGATGTTAGACACCACAAACTTGAGAAGGAAGAAACCCTTTTTCATCGAATCAGCAAAGGGCTCGTTCGATGACTTCCTTGATGTCTGTACAGGGTATGGCGATTATGTTCTTCACAGCAGCCTTTCCTGACCTGCCTCCTGACTTGGGAACGACACAGCGAGTGAAACCAAGCTTTGCAGCTTCTGCTAGTCGCCTCTCCAACTGCCCAACCTGCAGTCAACTTCATACGATCAATAGGAAAGGAGCTTCCGCAACGACCAACCTCACGCTTGCTGACATTGTAAGAGTTGCTCCGTAACATATGACCAGTACTGGTTGCGTCATCGTTGGTTGCCGGTCCGAAATCATAGAGAGGTATGTGTTATCTTCTTAGTCAGTTTCTCTCTGTATTTCGGGTTAGTGTTTGATTAGGATCCTGTCATCGTCACCTCACCAGTCATCTTAAGATAAGGTTTTCCAGTCAGAGCATCAACTTTTAGCCATGAACTCTGCAATAGAATATTGCTTGCGATTTTGTAGAGAAAACAAGTAACAAAATACAAGTAGCTAGTGGCTATTCCATCAGAATGTTGGATTGCTTCAGAAGGTGGAGATGGAGTTAACACTTTCATGGAATTTTGTTGAAGAGAAAGCAAGTAACAATGCACAACTAGGTAGTGGATGTCTATCAAATCGTAGGACTGCTGAGAAGCTGGAGGTGGAGTTAACGCTTTCATTGAACTTTGTAATTGGTTTTAATTTGGAGTGGAGAGTGCGATCTAGTGCAAATACTCGGTTTTATTTGAGAGTAAGGGGAGTGATAGCAAGCTATGGAGAACACTGTACTCAATTGCTGCAAAGTAATTATCGATATCACGAGGTCATGGGATACACTGGGTTCATTAACTTGATAGGATAAGGAAACTTAGAACTCTAAATTACAGAAAATGTACAATTAAGGTTGATGTGAATTTAGAGCTCTATGGCTGGTGTAAGTTTTGTCAAAAAACATGGACGAGTGGTTAGTAGATGAAATGTTCAAAATGCAGCACATGATGACCAACAGGCTCTTCAAGAAGACTGTGGATCACGTCAACAAGGACCTGATCCACATATTTGGTACCAGGTCAAAAAAGTCCTGGTAGCAAATATCCCATATCCTTCGAACATTTGGGCCAAGTTAGTTTATGTACAGTTGATTTATTTGCTGATGAGAGATTATAATGGACTGAGATGATTACCTTCAAGCTTGAAGGTGTTGGAAGTGTGATTGCACATATGGCTAAGCTGAAAGCACGGTCTTCTAAGATGGGTGAATCAGGCACAATTACTCACCCTCATTTCAAGGTTGCATATATCTTGAATAGTGTACCTCAGAAGTTTGGGCCCCTTACTGCTTTTCCCAATGAGCAAATGAGGAGGGATTACAACTACAACAAGGTGTTCACTTCTGCCACAAGGTTTGATAGGGAAGATAAGAAAACAGCGATGGCTGCTGCTCCTCTGAAGAAGACATATAGAGAGAGCATGTCAGGAAAAGGCGAAGCATCTCCGAAGTGCTGAACATGTGATGATAAAGCGCAATTGAGTTGTCAGTGTCCAAAGAGGAAGAACAAGAAGAACGATGGCCGAACTTTTATGCCACATTTTCATGGCATAAGGTTAATATGATTTGATTCTTTTTGGCTCACGTCCAACAGCGTATATACGCTGGTTTTGATGTGCACTTTGCATACTATAGAGTACTATAGTATATACTTTATAGTACTATACCAACTACTTTGCGTAGGTGGTGTGCTATTGAGTCCCTGAAGTCAATTTATTTAACTCCTTGAAGATATAGAGACAATATCAAGTTAAGCATGTTCTAACCTCACACATGAGAGCATTCACTTAGGCTGTGGCATAAGGAACTGGGACGTCTTTCTCAGTGTAACATGAGACTTCAGGCCAATGGTGTGAAGCAGAGCGAGCGACAAAAAGGAATGATTTTTCTTTCAATCTAGCGAAAAGCTGCGTTCCATCAATAAAAATGTAACTGAATTGAATGGAAGATTCGTTCAGCTTGCCACAAGCTAGACTTAACATTCAAAGCGAAAGCAAGGCAGCCGCTTTTCTATGTTAAAGATAACGAGCATATTTTAATCGGCAGGAGCTAACTCATCTAAATGAGTTGGCATAGAGTTTCTTGGTTAATACCTGGTTCAAACTGACCTCAAATATGATAACAATATACCCAATAAAAGACGCATCCACTTTGTTCTCAACTGATACTCTCAATTGGTAGTTTCAAATATTTACTCACCGAGCGGAGTTCCCCACCAAGCCCAACCTCCCCAATGAAAGCCATGTCTCGAGGCACTGGCTTTTCCAGTAAGCTGAGAAGGAAACACAATACAAACAATCACTTTCATGCCGATACAGAAGTATTTGCAGATTAAGAGTTTGATAACCGTTGTGAACATCAGGTACAGTTATTTACGACCGAACGATGAAAAAAATAAAGTTTGAAAAAGTTAGAAGTTTGCATTAGACTACTGTAAGAGGAGTTTGGTAAAAAAATTGGCTGCTGCATTCAAGTTATTATGATCTGATGAGATAACCAAGTCTTACCTGCTGCATATTGCAATAGCAACTGCTACATCAGCTGCAGGTTCTCGTAGTTGCAAGCCTCCCACGACATTGATAAAAACGTCCTACAATGAACAGAATGAGTCATTTCAAAAATTGTAAGGATGGCATCAAGCTGACCTTGAAGATGTGGGAAGCTGCACCCTACCAGGTGACAAGAGCATACGAATTAGCCCACGCAACTCATATGTTGCAGAGCTTATCTCATTCACTTCTTTATTAAAAATAAGCCCACACAATAATAAACGCATCGTCAACGGAAGCCAAAGATTGTCTGTCAACAGATCCACACAATGATAAACGCATCGTCAACGGAAGCCAAAGATTGTCTGTCAACAGACCCTGGGCGGAAACTAGTTACAACGAAAACAAATGTGAATATTATCAATACCTGATTTTGAAGCTTCAAGCCCGCCTGTTTTGTCAGAACCTGCACAGCAAGTTTGGAGGCGATTCAATTACCGTGGTATGTAAAACCGGTGTGGCCTGTCAGAAGAAGTGGCTCTCTCGCCCAATCACGAGTTGCACTAGGTGAAAACGGTTTACAGGGGAACTGAAACGATAGCTCTTTTGTATATGCACATCAGCTGTTTTTATCCAAGATATGTTCAGAGCTTTAGAGCATTAGTCAGGACCCGTTCCAAGAGGAAAAAACTGTGCAGCAACTTACAGCAAGCAGCAGGTACAAACGCTGCGCATCAACACCATTTGCAGTCCTCCTACCGGGTTGTTGCGCCGCACCAGTGGAACAGAGAGCCTGCCAGTCCATAGCAAAAGTAAACTAGACCGTAACGAATGTAAGTGTGTTAACGACATTATATTAGACCAAGCCTTGTTGACAACAATGCTTATCCGTGGCAGCATTGTCAGCCATAAGCCGCTGAAGGTTTTTCAGCTCTTTAACGCGAAAGGGGTATGGTGATTAGAATTCTTATTAGAAAGAGTCAAACAAGATACCCACTTGTACTTCCAACAGAATGGGACGTGAACCTTCCATCGTCACAGCGACAGCAGCAGCAGCAGTAATATTTGAATCTGTCGCTCTTTCACTCAGAAACAAGGCACTAGGATTCTTGATAGCCTGTAGACCCCCTTGAACCATTTCGAAAACTCCAACCTGTTGTGGTACAACAACAACCAACAAGTACAGCTCAATACTTCTTTAAGCATCCGTCAGGTATTGTAAAAGTAATCATTCTCAACTCCAGCAGGACCTACTTTAAGGTCACTTTAAAGTTGAAGCATAGTATCTGCCGAATCTTTTGGGAGATTACACTGGTCATGTCCAAAAAGATTTAAAGCATCAACAGCATATCTTTTACAGCTGAAGGAGCCCGACAAACTGCGCCTTGCAATCAAACCGATAACATATGCAGCCTTGCCCACCTATTATCTTTTGCACTCGAAGTTTGATAGGAAAACTTGGATGACAGTCCATCAGACAAACCTCATCAGTAGAGCCATAACGGTTCTTCACAACTCTCAGAAGTCGATGTGATTGAAGCCTCTCACCCTGCAGAAAAAAATTAGATTAGGTAGTCGAACCACTATGAATTGGTGAGAAAAAATTGCAGATACGCAGCAAAACCTAGCCTTCAAGTTTTGTCGATACACTCTTGACAACTGAGGCGACAAGAATCTAAATCCACGAGAGCTCCCGTAAACGTGAGGTCGAAGTTGGTACTCGAGAAGGATATTTCAGAGGGTTATAATAAAAATAGCATAGGCATCCACCAAATGAACGGTGAGAGAATCACCTCCATGTAAAGTACCACGTCCACAATGTGCTCTAGAACTCGAGGCCCAGCAATATCTCCAGTTTTGGTGACATGTCCGACCTGGAGATTGATTCACATCTGTGATGATATTGACTATGATAAGCAATATGCGCGAAGCTCCAGCAGAAATGCTCCTGATATCTGTGTTGTTCTAAGTCTACAAAGCAAGTCACATCACCTACCAGAAATATAGGTATGTTTGTCTGTTTGGCCATTCGCAACAGCGCTGCTGCACATTCCCTGACCTGCAGTTCAGATCATAAGTTTAAAGGACTTGATATGGTCTCACGGTTCTTGAAACCCCAGTGACCATTGAATTGATCTCACTCATTCAAGGGTGTATCAAATGCCACGTCCTGTGCCCTACACATACTAATCTAGAATTTATTGACTCTTAGCCAGGCTCGACCAAGTAAGCTTAGCCTATGCTACAAATATAGAGATGCTCGGCCAAATCAGGTAGATGATGGAACATTAACATTGTCACCAAATCTCAAGTAAGAAGTAAGGAGAATCATAAAAAAATAGTAGATTTCTGCTTGAAAAAAGAGAGGATATATTCTTTATAAGCGATGAGTACTAGATCAAGTACCTGAATCACACTTCCCGCACTTCCTGTTGCTTCTGGCAGGTATACAGTTTGTATTGAGTCCACGATCACAGCTCTTGGTTTCAAACCCTGAATAGCTTCTAGCACAAGCTTCTCACACAAAAGCAGAGCAGACAAATCAAAAGAGGAAGAGACCAGAATTTGACTGTATCTGAAGATGATGAGAGCATGAAGAAAAAGACTGAGATCGAGCAAGGTTCCACACAAGCCTAACATGAAGTGAGCCCACTTTCACTAAATCGATGCTAATCAAATCTTAAAGTTTCCTACAAATGATTGATCTTCACAAAATTTCATGTTGGGTTTCGAGCAGACAATGAAAGGAGCAATTGAAAACATCTAAACACTGATAAACCAGGCGGGGTAGTGGGCATTTCAGTTTGCATCTAATCAATGTGTCCACATCTGTCTTTACGAGCAAGAATCAAGCCACAGAATTAACTTTGTGTGGAGATAATGAAGGATGTCACATCCTGAATTTCCACCAGTAGACTATCCCCATGCGTGGGTATCAGCATATCAAGCTTATTTTGTGCAAGACTAGTTCTGAGCTTCAGGCCATCTAACAAAATAAAACTCCGGAGACATCAGATATTTAGATCAAAAGCTGTAGACTACAAAAGGCATGGAGGAAAGGCGGACCATTGGCATGTGTGGGCGATCAGAACCTCGAGATCAGTGGCCGAGTACAGAAACAATTCATGAGCAGAAATCTCCATTCGATCGGCCCTGCTGCTGATCTGCTCCACGCTCTGATGGTTTCAACATCGGAAATATAGCCACATAGCATATACGAAAATAAGTAAGAGGCTTGAAGCTCGTAGAGATAGACATAGACAATGACCCAAATAACAATAATAGATAACTTTGGTCAATTTTTGTACAGTCTTTTGCAAATCCAAAGGTTCATACGCAATGTGTCAAATTTTTATATTCGCAGTTGAAATCTTTCATATGATCCAGATAATAGCTAGATGATTTGAACAGGAAGTACTAATACTCCTTAGTAGATTTATGCGACGTTTTGTTATAAGTAGTCCCTGGATTTCATCTTCTGTGTTGAAACGAATTGACTCAAAAGTACCTCTTCTCCCGAAACGTACAGGACTGGGGCTGGACCTTCGAGATTTGATTCAAGCGCAAGAAGTCCAGCAACCTGTGGGAAAAAAAATCAGCTCTTGATAGCTCTATTTCGAACTTGCGCTATATTGAAGTAACATTGGAAATCATTGGAATCTCCAGGATCAGCACTATGATCTGCTAAAAGTACCGGCGTCAGATGTGTACGTTCTGTGAGGTTTCACAAATAGTACACACTTCAGTGAAAAAAATAAGTGCAGACACATCAGAAGACATAACATATAAGACATCGAGCAAAAAGCAGTCGACTGCTATACCTGCAGTAGCAGCGTACTTTTACCAACTCCTGGATCCCCACCCACTAAGATCAGTGAGCCTGTGAAAGCCAATCCAATGTCGAGAGTTAGTCTTGCAAAGATCTACGCACGAAGGTCATCCATCTATTTCAGTGTCTGTGAACGTTGGCTTCTCGCTAATATCAGTTCCAGTGACATTCTTACCGGGAACAATGCCTCCTCCAAGCACTCTACCCACCTCCTCTCCAGTATCTCCAGGCCTGAAAAGAGGCGCAACTTTGAATATTTGTGGTAGATTTGAAACAAACAGCAATTTACTGGGACAAGCACATGGGCATCACACTTTCAAGACTCTGCGCGCAACTTGATTAGATTCAGATTTCGGGAGGCTGATGACTGGAAAGTTCAGAACGAGGTCTGAGAGTCTTACAGAGCGAGGCGCCAGTGTTGCGTGGAACATCCTTGGGCTACGTCGGTGAGCCTTTGAGGACCGAGACCATCGTTCTTAAACCATGCTCTGGACCCAGCTCCAGTTGACGTCTTCTCACCTCCACTTGCAGGAGCACTGTCGGATTTCCTACTCATATTCATCCGCTCTACTGCTCGAGCTGCAGCTCCGCCTCTGGGACCGGCAGCCTGCACCGGTTCGCGAAATTCTTTCAAAGTGTTCATTTCTTTGCAGCTTTGGCAGCTGCCCCACCATTGAGAGAACGTCTCGCCACAATTCTCACACACAAAATGCACTTTCGTCTTGGCGCTCTTCTTTCCCAAAAACTCTCCCCGTCCAACGCTTGCAGCTCTGACGGTCGACAGTGTGCGCTTGGAAGCGCTACTCCAGGTGTGATTCCACCGAGAGCCACAAGGGCCCGGTCCCAAAGACGCCCAACTCATGCCAAGCTTTCCACGTTCCGCAGCGCGACAATCGCCTCTTCTGCCAGCCAATTCCCCGAGCACCTCCCTTCTCTCCACCCTCCGCTCGTCTGCTCCGCATACACATCCGGCGCACAGCTCCAAACTCTTGCTGCAAATTCTGAAACCCAAGTGCGCACCCCTGTCCACTCGCAACCCCATCAATCCTCCAGCCTCGACGCCTGCATTGCTCCAAAATTGCGAGCCTACTCCAGACAGCGCGCGTCTCTGCGGATTCAGAAACCGACAATTCGAGCCAAGAGCCACCGAGAGCCACACTCTTGCACTCATCGCGGCCTCGTGCACGGACCTCCCTGCTCGAATTCGAGGGCCTGCACAAAATCGCAGGGCCGAAGCTCCCGATCGCCCGCAATTCGGGACTCGGATTTCGGCTCACAGTCGAGCGCCCTCCTCGTCCTCGTCGTCGAATGCGCACCGACTGCCGCGGCTCCTCGGAGCGCCAGCGCCTGCGCCGGCGTCACTCATCGATCCGAAGCGCAATTTGAAATTGGGCGCCCACTGCACCGTCCCGCACTCCGCTCCGAGGCTCGATCGCTTGTCGTTGACGCCATCGCCCACGATGAGTTCTTTCAAATGAGTTCTCCCTTTCGAGCTCAAGCTCGGGGTCGGTCCGCGGCTCATTCCCAGAACTTAGTTTCGTTGGTATCTACATACTCAGTCATTCTTTCGTCTTTTACGGGGTTAGTGTTGATATTTAGATATTAATTTAATTATTTAGATTTAAGTTGAGCGTCGGAGAGTACAGTATCGTGAATTTGCAGTCTTTGAATCATAAAATGAATTTCGCTCGAATTTAATTTTGATATTTTATATAATAATAATATTTACCACTAGGACTTGATGGATATTTTGAAAATGAAAAAAATTATATGTGACATATGTTTAATAATATATTATGCTGTGCGTATTGTGATCTCACAACCAGCGCCATTGTATTCTCTATTCCCCGACATGTTTGGTTGTGGGACTTGAGACTGCACCCCATCCCTGTTCGCTTTGAACAGGGGATGGGGGCCAGTCTAATTTGCCATGAACTCAACAAAATATGGAACGAGGTCAAATAATTAATATGTACAATAGTTACCCAGGATCTCCTACCAACCCTTATGTAATGCTAGAATTCGGATCAGTGACATATTCACAATAAGAGAGAAGAGCAGTAGAGACAAAGCAAAAAACGATGGGAAGACCTCTATCAACATTTTCAACGATGGAAGCAATGGAGGAGTGTGAAACATGTACTGCACCGCTGCACTCCAGGCTATTAAGATTCTAACCCGGGAAGCTTTGCTCTCTCGTGGTGGTCCTTCCTAACCTCCAGGTAGGATGCCAGGTCGGCTGCCACGTAGGTATTAGAATCGCGGGTCACCCGCGACGTTCTACGCTCCCGGTTGAATAGGACTGGCCCTGAACCCTAAAGCTCCTCCTAGGGTTTCCCGATGCGAGCAAATGTGTGAATCTCGATTCTGTGCAGTCCTTTTCCGAATGTGGAGTTTCGACCCTTCCCTGCAGAGCTGGGCGATTCATCCCAAGTTCGAGCGATAACGAGCAAAGCGGGTTCTATTTGGAGGCAGGGAATTTATCGGAGGCTTGTGTGCTCTAGTGGTGCTGTCAGCATTCAGGATTTGAGCATTGGGCTGGACTTCCAGTGACGTTCACCGCGGATTCTACAGGAGCTCGAGAGCAGCGGAGGAGGAACTTCTTCGTTTTTTCTCGACGGTGCTAGATTCGGTTCTCCAGCAGGTTTTGGCTCGAGATCAGATACAGGCATCAAGAGCTTCGTAGAGATTGAGCGGTTGTGAACATGGAAGAAACGATGATGGAGACGGAGGTGACGACGACAGAGGCAAATGGGAACGAGGTCGTTAAACCTCAATTTAAGCCTCTATCGGCTCATGAGATGGGTGGTGGAAAATTTCAGTATAGGAAGGTTTTTGTTCCTTCTCACAGATACACGCCGCTGAAGGAGCACTGGATGGAGATTTATACTCCTGTGAACGAGCAGATGAAGATTGACATTCGGATGAACTTGAAGAATAAGAAAGTGGAGCTGAAGACCAGGAGAGACACCCCGGACGGGGGATCTTTACAGAAATGTGCTGACTTCGTTCACGCTTATATTCTTGGATTTGACATCCAGGATGCTATCGCTCTTTTGAGACTCGATGATTTGTACGTAGAGTCTTTTGAAATTAAGGATGTGAAAACTCTGCGCGGTGAGCATTTGTCGCGTGCAATTGGCCGGCTTTCAGGAAAGGGTGGAAAGACCAAGTTCGCTATTGAGAACTCTACCCGCACACGAATAGTTATCGCCGATCAACGAATTCACATTCTGGGTTCATTTGCCAACATTAGGGTAGCACGCGATGCACTGTGTAGTCTGATTCTAGGGTCTCCTGCCGGGAAAGTGTACTCGAAATTGAGGACAGTAGCCAGCCGAATGGCAGAGCAATTCTAGACGCCATGGCAGAAATTTTGCACCATTACTTTGTAATATGTAATATTATACTTCAAATATACCACGCGATACTGCAGCCAGAGATTCTAATCAAGGCGGATAAAGAAGATCATTTCACCTGGAAACGGTTTGCCCCTCTCGAATTGGCCCTAATTTTTTGTGAAATTGAGTCGTGTGATTTTCGTCGGTAGCCGGTTGCGAGTTTTTGTGACAGATGTTGTAATTCGATCACCAGTGTATTCAATAAATCGGGGTTTTGCAGTCTGTGCACATAGATTGCAGACGCTTTTGCCGAAATATCTATTATCAATCTTGTGCCCAATTATTCTCCACATACACACCTCGTGTATGAAACAAGCTGTTGTGCTTCCTTTCCATGCCTGAGCAAACAATTGTGATGTTGTGTCGTCCCTTCCTTCCGGTTAGCAGGACCTCTCTTCGAAACCTCGCCCATACTGGGAAAGTGCGTTACTGTGATGTTGTCCGTAATCGTTTTGTCTGTCGACTTTTGGCGTTGAGAACCAATTGAATTGAGGATGTCAAAAGAATAAACGCGGTGAGTCTGATTGCCCCGCTGGAAGATTTGCATGGAGATGCTTTTAGTTGCGAAGGATGACATACTGAAGTGACTTCAGGTTGTAATTCAGTTCCGAACTACCCTTCATGCAGAAGATGCGTGGCATTCTCCTCTGGTATTCATACGAAGTTGAGCTCCCATTGTTAGCGTCCAAGTGGATCGGAAGTGAGCTCGGTGAAACTGGTCAAAGTTAGGGGATTTGGACTTCGACGAGGATGGTGGGAAGATTATTTTGAAGACCGATGCTTGGTTAGTAGATTATTGAATACTGAACTGGAATTTAGGACGAATCACCCGACTTGAGCCTGGTTAGAGATTGACGCACTATTACAATTGGTAATGTACACTGTGGGAAGGGGAAACTTCACTTCTTAGTGGGAAGCTGGAGCCTCCCACTAAGAAGTGAAGTTTCCCCTTGTCATCAAGCCGGAGCTTAATGATCTGGTCCGCACTACTCCTGTAAACTATCGCAGTGAATCTGCGGGGTGAGCTCCCTGTTTTCATGGGCCATATATATGGGCCTCCTTGCTCATGAGAAAAGAGAAAATACGCTTTTGTTTGCTTATGCGGCTCCGAAATTATGTTGTATGCTATTTTCTGCTGTTTCTTTTAAACTTTGTTCATAACTGATCATCCGACTAAGTGTTATATGACAGAAAGTTGTAGGTAGGATGGTTTTTGCAGTAAGAGCTTCTACTTATGTGCTTTTGCTGGTGATGGTTTCTTAGTTTCATCCTCAAGGACCTTCGAATGTTCGTTGCCTGCACTAGTATTTGCACACACACCGCTTCCATCTCATAAATGTCTTAATCTCTGTCTATGTGAATGCGTCTGGTTTATTGTTCGAACGTTTTAGCTATGTTTGTGTCGCTCATACTTTTTGTGGAAATTGGTGGCAGGCAGGGAAACGTTGAGTGGCAGGAGGAAAGTAGAAACACTCATGGTGGAACAGAGGGCTGCCATGAAGACACGTTGGGATATTTGAAATTTGCTGTAATTATTCGGATCAGATGTATAAATTCCTTAGCGCTCTAAGCGAGTTTGGTAGTTATCTATTTGATCTATACTCCTTGAGTGATGTACTGGACCAATTTCTCCATTGACATTCGCCAAAGTTGTCGGGTTCCCCAGTTTCTCAGCTGCGAGTTCTTTACAAGATGCTTTAATGCATCAAGGCCACCTCCGATTGAAACTTCTATTGCCGCCACTGCGTTTGCAACAATCCCTTAAGTTGAACTCGAAGGAGATGGAATCTGTCAAATATCTGGTACGTTTTCCTTTTGCGTTTCCGTATTTTACTTTCTCCCCTAGGTGCATATTCATCGTTCCATGTTGAATTGTGTTCGCTCTTTGTGTACATGGGTCAGAACCTCATCCAAAACTTAACATTGTCTCAAATTCGAAGACGTGAGACAAGGGCGAACTATGGACAAAGAATGTCAGGTGGTTTTCTGATCAACCTTTGCAGAAAAAATTTGACGCAAGTTTTGGGCATAGACGAATTAGAAACTAAGGCTCGCTTGTAGGTTCGAAGAATGTTTGTTCTTGATCCTATCGGTGTCACTTTCCTCTTGTTATCACACATCAGTCCCTTGTACATCCACAACGGCGTGTCATGGAGTATAAGTTACTAAAAAAATTGCCTTGTGGGTTGACTTTCTAAATAGCGTTCGTGTTCCTCTTGAAGCCTTTCGTTAGATATTTCTTTCAGAAGACCTCAACCCTCAGTAGGAACTTCAGTGCGAAACCTCGTCTCTCTGTTTCAAAAATCTCCTCTCACAGGAAACTATCACTCTTGTGGCTCGTTTCTGCTCCAGCTTCTCTCTTTTCCGTTTACTTCTGGAAGTCATTCTCTGCCTGCTCAGAGGAAGTATCGTGCACTTTTCACTTCTCGTTGGGTGTAAGCTTATCTGTATGTTTATCTACTATATATTCTGCCCTGTTCTTGTATAGACTGCTAATCCTTGAATGCTGCACTGCGTACTGTCGTCCTTCGGGCAATGCAAACAATTTAACCTGTCAGGTATAGTACGTCAATGGGTAAGTGTCAATCAAGTCAAGCTGTTACACCCTCTAGCATATCCTTTTCCTTCATAGGCAGATGGTGCTAGGCGATATTTTTAACAGGTATGCCCAACAGCTATCGATTTGTCTTTGTTTTGTTGGGTTCCGAGTGATTTTCAACACCCGGCGGTCCATTGAAGATATTCATCCACCTCGGTATGTACATGAAGCATTAGACTTTATGTGCTGTTGGCGGATTTCTAAAACGTATTATGTCGAGTTCATATATGTTGCACCTTCTGTTACCAGCGCAGTTCACCAATGTTGATGTTTCTCAGTTATCGGTTGATTCACACGAAGCAAAAAAAACTGGATTCTAAATTTAAGTCAGACTTGCAATCTCTTCTTCGTTTGATGTAGGGCAGTTGCCTGCCAGTTAAGTCGCAATTGATGTCTCGAACGTCAAATTAAAGTGTATCTTTGCTATACCCCTTTGATAATCCTTCACTCGCTTTTCAGGTTTGATGGAAGTCAGAATTGCAGATGAAACTTTCAGTCTATTCTACAAACATGTTCTAGTACCAGGATCAAATGAGAAAATGGTCGTGTCCTGAGAAACAACGAAAATGTTGTTACAAAGACTTTTCGGTGATCTGTGTCTTAACGCTGAAAGTATCAAGTAGATATATTCAAAGCTGAGAATGACATAAATTTTCTCCACTGCATCCCTTCTATTTGAACCATCACGCTTCTCAATACTATGTCGAATAGATGATTGACTAAACTATCGTAAGTATACATTGAACTGAGGGTACCATCCAGCTATCAAACAAAATGATTTCTCCTGTGTAGGATACAATATGAAGATTGGAGAGGAGGTATTCAATAAGTAGTGATGAAATTAGCTTCAACATTCAAAGAGTGTACGACGACATTGGTTTGGTTAAGAATAGTCATTCAAGAATAACATCATTGAATTGATGCTCCATATAACAATATGGAGCATCCTGAATGCGTTTGAAGATAATTTAGAGGAAAGATGAAAGTCAACGTAAACTAAATCCGTAATACTCAACTGAAGCAGTTAAAGTAAAATCAAGTAGTAAACCTAAGTTTATGATGAAGTCGTTCTTCAAATGTATGATGACGCAATAGATCAAAGTATTAAGGTGTAAAACTAATGTGTATGTGAGAGGTCCAAGATGTGTGAATTCAAACTCATATATCACATTTGAAATCTTCGATACACGATTTTGTCCAGAAATGAACTCATTACATGTCTATTCGTTCAAGCATCAGGTCTGATTGTAAAGAATTAAAAATTAGCCACGTAGGTTATATTGTCATGTGGAGTGCTTAGTTTGACGAAAAAATATCTTCTCCATATCTTATCTAAAATCTGGCAAGAATACCACAAAAGTAATTTAATGTCGTGGATACATAACTTTCATGTCGCTTTTATCGAAACAAATGAAGTTCACTAGATAATTATAACGTACATTGTTTTGGTTTTTATGAAGTTCACTTTGATACATTGAAATTGCACTCTTTCACTATTTCTATGTCTGACTTCAAGGAAAATAAACGTCAAAATAATGTTTGAATCTTTGTATACTAGACGATTTCGACTGATAAAATATAACTTATATTTTATCACTTTAACTTATATTTTATATAACTTATAACTTATTTTATATTTTAACCTTAGATTTATTATATTACATAAGAAATCTCAGATTGTCCAGCAGTGTAATCTATAATAAGTTTATTCAGAACTGTGTAATTCTTGTAACTTCACGAAAAATGACACTGACTTTTTTTCATGGTTTTCATTTTATAAGAGAAATGTAAAACTATGTTATGTATCCAATCAAATGATTTTGCTTGAAATTTAGATAATTGTCACATAATTTAGAAACAAAAGTTAAACCTAAGATTGTGTTACAACAGATTTCACGATATAAATGAAAGATTTTCAGTTATTACTATAAATAATATTTTGAAATTAGATAATTCCATGTTGAAAGTTAATAGTATTAAAGACATGAATTTTCTATTGATCATTTAGAATAAAATTGTGTATCATGAAAGTATGTACAGTTTTAGAATCTTTTATATAATACCGGGGTAAGTTTTTTAGCACAAATAAATTTTAAAAGAAAAATATAATTAAATACTTTCATTCATCTAAAGAAATCAATCAGCATCGAAAAAAGAGTATTTATCCTCATGTGAAACAAATTTAACAGCTCTTAATCATCATCATGAAGTACGATAGAGCTTCTTGTGTCTTGATATCTATGGAGTTATACGAATTAATATTCGGGAAAAAATATATTATAAATTTAATTATGTAAAATTATGAGTATAAATTAAGAGTCGAAATTTTTTTGGTGAAGATAAATGGTCAACAACGGAAGACTAGGCTTAATTTTCGCCTTAATGTGTGTTCCACTGTAGGAACTTATAAGACTTGAAACACGCTAAATAATGCTCTTTGTTGACATTTCCATAGAACTCTTGACTATGCTGCTGGGAATTTCCTTCTCGAGGACGCCATACGGATGTCATAGGCCACTCCTGTGAACGGATCATAACTTGTTCTATTTACATTTACTGGACTCGCGAGTCCGAGTCAACGGATGCAAAGGATGCAAATGGCGATTCCCCGTCCATTCAAGCAGACAGAGACTACAGTTGGACTGTGCAACTGCGTCCAGCTGATG